TGTTAACTCAGAAAAGGAAGATCGGGAAGAAACAAAACCCTTTCCCTTGTTCCATTCTCAGTTTGGGAAGATGACCTTGACACAGCACCTACAAGCTGCCTCCCTGTGGTTCCTGAAGCTCTGCTGCTTTCAGGGCTAAATGTCCTGTTTTAATCAGTGCCAACAGACTTACCCGCACGGATTTACTCAGCCAAAAGTGATTTTTGCAGAACCTCATAACCTGGGTCTTGCCCGATTAGACAGAACCGGGGTACAGACCTAGGTTCAACCAACGGATGCCAGATTTGCGGAGGATAGCATTTGCTTTGCCTTGCATAGGGCGAGCCATAGTTATGGCAAGAGAAAGAGCTGTCTTCAGCTAGAGGCACTCTACGCTACAGCACCATCTCACTACTGATCCAGCAGTTTCCCATGCACTTTTTGCAAGCTGTGACTCTGGCAAAGAGCCTTCTACGCAAGGGAAGAGAAGCATGCTACAGCCCAGACCCCTCCATTCCATTACTTTGGGGGAGCTTTGTGCTGAAATTAACCCACTGAAGTCCAGAGGCTGGATGAGACTGGCAGCATGGAACAGAAAACCTCCTGCAGACCTGCTGCAGCCTTCCAGGTCAGCCCATTGGGAGCTTGAAGAACTAGGATAGCTTAACCCAGACACTGCACCTCCTCGGAAATACCTCAGTATCGCCCTTCCCTGGGCACAGTTAGCTTTGTCCTTTCCGGGCACTCAAATGTGTTTCCCCGTCCAGGAGAACCTCACTAGATCACACTGTCATTCACCTGCAGCACAGGGATTCTGAGCTGATCCTCTGCAAATAATGAATTTCATCCAGTGTTTCTTGAAGATTCACTGAAAATTATGGAAATCTATGAACTTTCAAGCAACCACACACATTCTATCGAAAGGAAACAGAAGAGTATATTCCACCCCAAAACCATGCTAATTTCAACAACAACAGTCCTGTTCTCAGTATAAAAACCACTTTCTTGATGACTAATGCTATCTACCAAAAGTGCTGCAGTAGTACGAGGCAACCCAGCAATGCTCAGGACCTGCCTACCCTTGGCACACCACATTCAAAGGAGAGCTTATTGTGCTCATCCGTGTTCCCTACCAATGTACAAAGGTTTGGGTTGGAAAGGACCTTAAAGCTCATCCAGTTCCAACCCCTGCCACGGGCAGGCACACCTCACACTAGAGGAGGATGCTCCAAGCCCCTGCGTCCAACCTGGCCTTGAACACTGCCAGCGATGGGGTTAGGTCTTCATTCTCTTTTAGTTTCCTCTGCGTTTCCCTGCGTTTGCTCAACACAAAAGCAGGTTTTTCACTACAGCTTATTTCTCCTCCAGGTCTGAGGCAATGGTACAGGGTTCACATGCCCATGTTGGAGAATGTTTATTGTGCTGGGACTTTATAGTCTCTGATGTAACGCAATAAACCATGGAAATGTCTGTTATTCTCAGGATCAGGGTCCAGAGGTGCTTTTTCTTGCTCTCTACAGGGAACTCACTGCATTCTCCATCAAAGGGTGCAGGTTTGCTTTCATACCTGATGCCTCCTCACTGTGTTCCCAGCAGATTTAGTGAGAGCAGAGCTGAATTCACACAAGCCTTACGCCCTCCAACCTCCCCTTCTTCCAGCCTCCTGGCTTTGTCCATAAATCAGAGAAGCACCTGTAACTTCCAAGGCAATTCCAACACCACGTAAACACAGGGCTTGCTTTTGCCATCCCTGTACGCACGCAATTCCACGTACCTCCATGACCAAGGGCTGCAGAATCCAGCTGCCATTTACAAACACTGGCAAGTAATTCGGGCCTCCGGTTATTGATAAAGCACTGGAATATCCCAAAGAATCCAGATTCTCTGGAATACACTGCCCCATTTCAACCAGGCGCCCTGGCCATCAACCAAGACTGTAACTGTTACAGTGCTTGTATACTGTGGGTGTATTACTTTACCCAAGAAAAACACGAATATCACATTAGCAGTAACCATCGGGGGCTAGTGATTCTTTACACACTGCACTGTTTTACAGCACAGGGCTCATTTTCTGTCCCAGTGGGTGTTCTGGTCTTTAAATATTTCAGCGCTTCAAACAAATCCCTGCCAACCAAGTACTACATGCAACATTTAGTTTTCTAGCCCTACATGGCCAGGATAGAAACACGGCTTTTAAACATGAGGAACGAGACAAGCAGGATTACTGTGTCCCGCCTTTCAAAGAGGAAAGAGCCTTAAGTTCACACTTCATCCAAAAGGTCCTCTTGTGAGATCACAGAGGACCAGATGAGGTCCACAGGTCGAGGCACCTGACACCTAATGCATTCCTTCCTGCGTGCGCTATTGTAAGCCATCCCGTCCCAGGGTGGGCTCAGAAGTTCTCAAATCCTTCTTGACCCCACAGTGTGCTGAAGGAACACTGTGCTGCTTCCAACCCTGGCATAGCTCTTCTGGCTGGCATTTAGTGCATGGAATCAACCATGCTGGAAAAGCCCTTTAAGATCATCAGGTCCCACCGTTCCCCAGCTCTGCCAAGGCCACCACCAACCCATGGCACTGAGGGTTTCGATTACGTGGTGTGTGAACACCTGCGGCACGAGCACCTGCCTCAGCTGATTTGCAAGCTAAGAAGCAGCTCTCCTCCCGGAGAACTCTAAGTAAGATGATTCAGACCAGAAGAGTTTGAGGCAAGCCTCACCACCGATGGTGCGACATAAACCCGAGCAGAACACCAACCCTAAGGGAAAGCCCCTGAACTCACATGCCTACGTACACTGCTGTTACCTTTAGCCATTGAGCGTGCAGCAGCTTCCCAGACACACACCTAACATGAAAGGCTGCCCAAGGAACTCCTTGTTAAAGTACTGGTTAAACACCAGTATAACTAGTGCTGTCCTGCGAGCGGTGCTTCCAAAAGAGCTTGCATGCCAATTACTACGATGCTACTACAGGGCATCTTTCACCGAGTTAACACACGTGCCCCAGACTATAACCCATGATCATGTTTTCCTCGGCTCACCAGTGACTGTGGGTGCCTGCCCTACCCAAGTACCTTTAAGTGAAGCACCTCTTCAGTACCTATTTCTGTTCGGTGACCGAACTCCTCTCCTTTCCAAGGGAACTCTCCCCAAATTAGGAACACTCCTGTACCTATACCAACCCAGTATCTGTTGGCACTACTTAACCTGCTCGCAGGTGCCAGCAAATACAGCTTGACAACAAGCCCGAGGTTTATTTGGCAAATCCCAAACGGCCTAAGCAGTTTCATCACGGGCCACGGTACTACCCAGTCAACCGAAACCGAGAAAGGGGGGCCAACCAAACCACAAGCTTTATGGGCCCTTTTAAGCACTCATCCTGTGGGCATCCCAAAGCATCTCCAAGGCCAAGGAGGCATGCCAAGGCGAGACGGGCAACAAGGAACCGGCGTGTGTGCAGGCTGCCAGCACAGCCGAGCCTGCCAGGAGACGAAGGAGACGCTCCCCGTCTGCTGACAGACACCAGGGTTAGAGGGGGCTGTGATGGTCCCACGTTAGGACTGATTCATACAGCGCCCGTCTGTGATGGCATCGCATTCACAGCAAAGCTGGACAGGGTCCAGCAAAAGCTAGAAGGCACATTACAGCAGCAATGGGCTTCTACACCCGAGTCACATCCCCGAGCCTCTCCCAGCACGCCTGAAGCGAGCGAGCTCGATCTAAAACTTGTGTTGATCACAGCCCTCCGGACTGGCTGAGCATTCCGAGATGGAGTGCTGTCGTCTTCCCTCCGCTGTCTAGCACCACGCTCTGCTCTGACACCTTCTTAATAACGGGGGAAGAGAGGGAGAAGCAGAGCTTAGCTGCTGCTGCATGATTTCCAACCCCCCCCGCCCCCCGCAAACCTCGACTGATTTATTGCATCAAGCTTCTGGCACTCAAAGGCCACAGAGAAAATTGGGTTTTAATGAAGAAAATAATCTACAAAGTGGAGGCAGTTTTGCAGAGAGCCTTGGCTAACTGGTGCTGGGAGATTAGAGCAGCAGCCTGCAGGTGATGGAACGTAAGGCTTCACGTGTCAGGAAAAAAGGGCAAGACTGACTGTAGGAACAGCAAGGACCTGTTCAGGAACGCATCTGCCAACCCCTTCCCTTCTACAGCAAAGTTGCAGGGAGCAGCAACTTAACGAAAGAGCCCCACAGTTTGATGTCAAAACAGGGTCTGAGCAGAGCCTGTGCCTCCAGTAACGCTTCACTTAAAAGAGCACACAGCTGAAAAGCAGTCTTCGGATAATCCGAGTTTTCAGCCCTTTGCCTTAGCACAATAAACTGACTCCGTTTGCAGCCGATTCCCTCCCCTTCAACCGGAGCTCGATCCCGCACCCTCTCTACCGCACCGCAAGTTCTTAATCCCTCCAGTGACCCCACTGAAGTCAACGGGAGCACCAGAAAAGGCAGAACTTGGGCTCCGCGCTTTGAAAGGCGACGCGCACGCCTCGGTTTGACCGCATACACCGATGCTCGCACGCGTACCGAGGGGGCAGCTTTTGGTAACTCCCGAAGTGAAAGAATCCGGAGAGCATTAACGCGCGTTCGCGCGCAACTCTGAAATTCGAGGCGTTTTCCACCCCGCGGTGGAAAGCCGAGGGACACCCGGCTGCAGCGCGCAGGGAAGCGCAAACGGACAGAGGCGGCTCTGCTCTGCCCTCGGCCCTCGCCATGAGGTCTCCCCTCGCTCGGCACCAACCCGGCCGGGCCCCCCGCGCCCGGCTCCCCTTCCCAGAGACCACCTCGGCCGCCGCCGAGCGCCGGACCCCTCCGCCCGAGCCCGGCAGGCGCCGCCGCTGCCCCGGCCCCTCCGCGCGGGCGCACCTGCAGCGGGAGCCGCGCTGCGCGGCCCGGGGCGCTCGGCACCGGCACCCGGGTGCGCCCCTTCGGAGGGGGCGTCCGCGGCTCCGCGCACCCCCCCGTTTCCCCGGTAAAGCGGGGCAGAGCGTGCTGCTCCGCGGCGCTGCGCGCTCACCGTTCGACCTGCGCACGATGTTCTCCAGGAAGGTGTTCTGCGGCGCCACCAGCCCCCGCCGTCCCCCGGCCATAGTCGCGCTGCGGGAGCGCGGAGGCTCCGCTCAGGGCTGTGCCGCGCCGCTGCCCGCCCGCCCCGCGCGCCTCATGGCCCCGCCGGGACCGGCTCGGCTGCGCGGCACCGGCCCCGCGCCGCCTCCCGCGCACCGCGCCGCGCCGCACCGCCCCCTGCCGGCCGCCGCCGAGCCGCAACGCCGGTGTCACAGCGCCACCGTCTGGGCGCGGCGCGGCACAGCACAGCACAGCACAGCAAGACCCTCGCTTAAGGGCAGCCCGGCTGGGCCGGGCCGGACCGAGCCGAGCCGCCCGCGGGGCACACGGAGCCCTCCTCGGCACCGCTCGCGGCTGCAGCCCCGGGGGAAGCGCCTTGGAGCGGCGGGATGCGGGTGTCCGGCGGGGCGCCCTGGACCCCAGCCCCGAAGCGGGTGAGGCGCCTGGAGCGCTTTAAAACCCCTCCTCACCAACCCGCGGGCGCAGCTCTCGGCCGCGGAGCACCGGAAGGCTCCACTTCCAGCGCCGGCAGGTGTTCCCCACCTTCCTGTGATGATCCCCTCGCTATCATGTGGCCCAACTGATTAACAGCGGAAGCGGTGCGATGAACTATTTACACCTAACCTCTGACCGGCCTTAAAGTCGTTGAAACACTCGATTTAGGAGGGTTTCCCAATCAAGGATCAAACAACTTTGTTCTTTTCCCCTTAACGATCTATCAATGAGTGGAAAATACTCACCGCTTGTTGACACAACGGCAGGTTTCCTGGCTGGCGCTGGCATTCACTCACTGCGACGCCTCATGCAGTGCAGCACCGTCGGGCTCCGTAGCTCAGGATGCGTTAAAATGCGAGCATGTTTCACCTGGGAAAAGCCATTTCCCACAAAACCAGCAAACAGAGCATGGTGAAGGCGATGCTCGGTGTCACTGGGGCTTCTGAAGCCTTAGCGCTGCTCCCACAGAACTCTGGCATGGTCCAGCCATGCAATACCTTAAGGGGTCCAGCAAAAAACCTGGAGAGGGGCTCTGGACAAGGGCCTGTAGGGACAGGCCAAGGGGAATGGCTTTAACCTGCCCGAGGGGAGACTGAGATGAGCTCTTAGGCAGAAGCTCTTCCCTGTGAGGGTGCTGAGGCGCTGGCACAGGGTGCCCAGAGGAGCTGTGGCTGCCCCATCCCTGGCAGTGATCAAGGCCAGGTTGGACACAGGGGCTTGGAGCAAGCTGCTCTAGTGGAAGGGGTCCCTGCCCGTGGCAGGGGGTGGAGCTGGGTGAGCTTTAAGGTCCTTTCCAATTCAAACCAGTCTGGGATTCCACGATTCCATGACTCCTAAAATGCCAGCACGGCCCAGCCCTGCTGCCAAGCACATGAAGTAGCTGTGCCATGGAAGCTGCTTTTAAACCAGTCACAAACTGTGCATCAGCCAGCCCCAGCTTTTCTGCCAGAGACAGGGTAGGAGACAAAAGTCAAGCACCCGAAGCTGCAAAAAAGCCACCAAGTCTCCCTGAAATGCCGGTGGACCTTGAAAAATCCCATGGCAGCACTCATGTGCACCTTGACAGGTCTAAACCTGTCCCCAACAACTGCACAGGGAGCAGCCCTGCTTATTTAGTTCCCCCTGGCTTCAGCGGTACGGGCCAAACCTGAGGAGATCTTAAACACTGCCAATTTCCCCAGTAACACTGGAACCTTTGACTCAAACTTGCACAACCATAAGGGCGAGAGTCTGATAAATCTGGGCTCTGGAAGACTGTTCCATTATTCCTCTGTGCCAGAGGGCAAGATGCACGCATGAGATCTTCGCTTCTGCCCTGCTCTGCAGGAACAGCTACGACTCGGAGGCAGCCTGCACACAGTACATGAACTTTAAGGCCTTTAGAGAAGATTTCAGTCTGAATCAGCAAATACACACAAGCAGGAGCAAAGGGACACAGAGCAAGAAGGAAAAGCTGTGTGTTTTCCAGCAGTCTGTGTCGCACTGTGTGGCCCTGGCTCTGACTATCTAATGTTTCAGAGCATCATGCTGAACCCTACAAGCTCCACGTCAAAAGTAAGATTTTAGCCAGGCTGGGGTTCACATCTGACCTGTAACATTGCACGTGGAAGATGCCTCCTTTATCTCCTACCTCTTTCAGGCTTTCTCTGCACTGCAGACTACAGCTCCTGCTGGTGATAGGAGTTTTTCTCCACTGCTGCAGAGAGACGCTGCGACGACAGTGTTTCAGTGTGACCGGTCTGAACTTTATACTCATTTCCTTGCCATTACCAGTAAATTTTGCAGCTGATACAAGTTGGAAGCAAAGCCCCACTTAAAGCAAAGTACACACATTGGCTTCATTACTAGATGATGACCCCTCCCCAGCTATTGGACAGGACTTACTACGTAACACTTCCACCTGAAGCCATCATAAAAGGTCATGGTTTGCTATAGAGAACACTCAGCTGTATTTTATCATGCTGCCCTTTCAGCCTGTTGCTTTGTCCTGAAAAGGGCCCTGGGTCAGGACTTGCAGCAGCACCTGGTAAGTGACTGTTCCTCTGCTGCAAAGCCTTGAGCTCCATAGTCACTCTGCTCTGAGCAGCAGCTGCTGTTGCAAAAAGGACAGATTTGCCTTCATCTAAGCTGTGTGCGTTTGTCACCCCATCTGAATTGAAACCCAGCCTGAAAAGAAAGCCAGGGCTGGTGGTGAATGAGGAAAGGCAGCTGAGACACCTCCCTTTCTGGCAGCAGCCCATATTTACTCCAACCCATTTACTAACATGTCTGCAACCTCCAGTATTGATACACACAAAGACGTTGAAAACTCTATCATCAATAAAAGCACTCCTTCCGGGCACTCATCTGTGGGAATGTCAGTAAACCCCACGGCATCTACGAAGTAAAACTGCTGGAAGAGGACAGAGGCTCCTTTCTTCCACCCATCTCACAGGGTTCACTCCTGGAACATACTACTGCGACGTCCTTTCAACACTCCCTCAGCCATGCAGGGTCCCCGGGTGAGATCTGTGAGGTGTTGGAAGAGATGACAAGAAAGCTTTTCCTAAGACACTGTGTCCTAAGCTGTCTGGTCTTTAAAGCTAGTAAAAACCTCCTCCTTCTGCGGATGCTCAAACCCCCAACCCTTGTGCGAATTCCCAAACGCAGGAAAAGCTGCTGTAAGGCTCCTCTGCCTGCCCTTCACTCTGAACCTGCCTGAAGTTGTGCAAGACTTTCGCTGTTAGACCCTGTCAGGTCTTCAGGACCTGTCACCTCATTGTCACAGCATCAAACCCGTACAGAAACACAGCGGTTAGGTAAGCCTCAAAATGTAAGGAGCGGATCTTGAGAAGCACCGGTTTTAACCAAGGCCTTTTCTGATTCTAGCCGGTTTTGCATGCTGCCTTCTGCTCTTTGTACAAAAGAAACTGTCAGAACGCAGAATTATAGCACGCAGTTGCCACAAACCACTACCAACCCTGACAACAGAAAGAGCATTTCATCTTTAATGGGGTTCCATTTGTGCACTTCCATGGGGCTTTTGCTAAACTGTCAAAATCGGTCGATGAGAAACTTAACATGAGCCGGCTTCAGTGTGCGCTCACAGCCCAGAAAGCAACCGTATCCTGGGCTGCATCAAAAGGAGCGTGACCAGCAGGGCGAAGGAGGTGATCCTGCCCCTCTGCTCTGCTCTGGTGAGACCTCACCTGGAGCACTGTGTGCAGTTCTGGTGTCCTCAGCATAAAAAGGACATGGAACTGTTGGAACAAGTCCAGAGGAGGCCACGAGGATGATCAGGGACTGGAGCACCTCCTGTATGGAGACAGGCTGAGGAAGTTGGGGCTGTTCAGCCTGGAGATGAGAAGCTGCGTGGAGACCTCAGGGCAGCTTCCAGTGTCTGAAGGGGGCTACAAGGATGCTGGAGAGGGACTCTTCATCAGGGACTGCAGTGACAGGACAAGGGGTAACGGGTTAAAACTGAAACAGGGGAAGTTTAGACTGGATCTAAGGAAGAAGTTCTTTCCTGTAAGGGTGCTGAGGCACTGCAATGGGTTGCCCAAGGAAGTTGTGAATGCTCCATCCCTGGCAGTGCTCAAGGCCAGGTTGGACAGAGCCTTGGGTGAGTTGGTTTAGTGTGAGGTGTCCCTGCCCACGGCAGGGGGGTTGGAACTGGATGATCTTAAGGTCCTTTCCAACCCTGACTATTCTGTGATTGTATGAAATTAAAATACACTAGTTGGCAGGAGAACAAATTACAGGCAGTAATGCACAAGTTACTCTGCCCATGCAGACAAAAGGCAAAATATAAGGAAACTCTGAATTCAAACTAAAATGAAAAACAATTTTGTATTTTTTACATTGGAATCAATAAAGCAGTTACTATTCTACAAATTCTTACACCCCAAAGTCTGCAGACAAAAGCCCCCATTCTAAGCACACACACACACACGTGACTACGTAGTTGTTTGTTATTAACAGCATTTTTTCTCTTAGGGAGAAAGCAATGGGAAACAAAAGTCAGTCCTGAAATCTGATCTGAGACTTTACCAAGTGCACACACGTCCATCAAAAGGAATGGAAATATGGAAAAATAACTAAAAAATCCTATGTTCCAAATGGAGAGGGGAGAGAAGATCTCAAAACTGATAGGAGAGTACACAGCCAGTCTTTTATTTATGCATCTAACATTTGGAGTGTGAGCTAACAGGGAAGAACTGTTTCTTCTTCCAGCAGCTCAAAAGGGCATGGAGAAACTCCCTCTTTGAACAGCACGTCCACCCTCACTCATTTCAACCTGAGGTAGAGTGCTGTCCTTCCAGGTTTAGAAACAACATAAAACACAACACATCCCCCCAGACTGTGATTAGGGCACCAGCTGCTACCACCATGCTCCTCACTGCAGGTGCCCCTACCTAAGCCTCTTGGCTCAACCCTGCCCTGCCCTGCCCTGGCTGTGGTCTCTCCCAGTCTTGGAGCAGAGGCAGTGACCCAGTACAGGGCTATTACTCAGAGGAGGAAACTATCCAGAACGTCTGGTTCCAGGTCTGGCAGGGCTTTTGTTAGCATTTTTATGGTGTCCTTCAGCTGGCCTCGGTCTGCCTCTGTCTGGGTCAGTGCAAACCAAGGCAAAAATGAAACAACTCAGCACAACTTGCCTGAATTTTAGAACACAGGGGCCCCACTAAGAAATTGTAATGCCTATTTTTATTTGCATGCCCTGCCCACAGTAAGCCTGGAAACTCATTGTTCAGGGCGACAGCTTTCTGTTAAGCAGCAAGAAGCATGGCAGGCTGGGTTACTGCATTGTTAGTGACTGCAGACTGTGGTCCAGTAGTGCCCAATTTAACAATACCAAAAAGGCATTTTTAATCCTACATTTTCATAACATCCTATACAAAGAATAAACCCAAACCCTTGTTATTTTAGGCCCACTTCAGAAAAATAACAAACATGCCTTGTTAAGCTACGAGGTCTTCCATCTCTTTTTTTCCTTACTTTGACCCTAAAACATCCCTTTTCAACCACTGCCCTTGATCTAAACTATGCGATTAGCTTTCTCAGCAAACCCTGAGTTCCACAACAGCTTCCAAGAAGGTACTGATATAAAGAAGAATTCCTAAATAATAAGGAGTCAGACTCCCCAAATTATAATATATAGCCTAAACTCTGTAGTTAAATTTTAAAAAGCAGAGCAATCTTCTAAACTTCATTGCTTGTTCCCTGGACAGCAGCCTCCTACCTGTCAGGCTGACAGTGGTAAAGGCACTGCTACTGCCTCCTTTACAGTAGCCTCCTTCAAGAAACACACCTCAGAAAGTAGTCAATGTAAAACCACTTAACTCTAAGTTTCTTGCACAGGACTTGTATGTCAAAGCTTCTGGCTTACAAGCACTCAGAATTCCTGTTTTGGAGTTATGTATTTTATCAGGTTCTCTTACCCCTTAACTTTACTGACCGTATCTGTTCCTTGTAATATTTTGATTTTAGAAGGTTTGTCAACAGAGAGAAAACAACCCCCCTCCCAAAATAACCCCTACACCAGGAAGAGGAAAGAAAGAGAGAAAAAGGAAAAGAGAAAAAGAATGTAAAACCAAATGCTTCTCACTTCATTGCAAAGTTTCACCAAGCCTCACATCTGATCGCTTATTTCCCACTTACTGATCTTCCTGTTACCCAGTTCACTTGCAGCATTTGCTTTCCATGCAGACAGAACTCCGAGTTCCTTGACAGTGGGTGGGGCACACAGAAGTAGCCACACAACTCAGAAGGCCAAGTCTGGAAAGAAACCTAAGCAACCAACCAAAAAGAGCCCTCTTTCTAACTAGCTTAGCAGCACCATTTTTATCAAATTTAAACGTAGTGATCCCCAATTCTCCCATTGTAACTAATCTCTTGCTGTTATCTCCTGCAGCTGCACTAAGAAAAATTCCTAATTTTCTAAGCTTGATCATATCTTAATAGCATTTTTCCAGGGCCTTTATCAGCACTGGCCTCATATTTCTCCTGAAGTCTGACAGGCTGTTGATTTCTGTATACCTGTTGTGGTTTGGGGTTTTTTAATACCTTTCCTAATTTTGGTTAAGTTTTTTACAATGTATTCAGCTCAGGCACTGCCGGGTACAGTGTTCAGAAGGAGCTCACATTTTACAGATGTTCGGTCATGAATACAGATGCTCTACGAAATTCAAAGCGTTTAAACAAATAAACCAGGATTCCTTCCTGTGCTTCCATGGATGGTTAAGAAGCAAAGACTGCCACCAGTTAATTGAACAAAACCTTCTTGTGAAAGGTGACACAGTGCAGTGAAATACCAGGTCATTCTTTAGAAAAGATGCAGTGCAATATTCAAACCTATCTCCAGCTACCTAAGCAAAACACAGTGCATGGCACAACGGAAGGTGAAGTTAGGGAATCTGGGGTAGCAGACACGCCTGTCAAGAGGTGAACGTTTGTACACGAGACACCCACAGAAGCACCATCTATCAAAGATAGCTTTAGCAGCTCTGCAGTAGCTGCAGGGCTCAGAGTGCAGCTCTGAAACCTGGGCCACCATCTCTTTGGCTTTTTAGAACAGCACATGTCTAACACAAACCGACCTCACACCAGGCTCCCAGGCTGTAACACACCTCAGGTTTTAATTAGGAAGACCCTTAAACCAAGAGTAAAAGCCACCTTCAGTAAAAGGGATGTCATTTAGATGGAAGGTAGTGAACTGCATGAGCAAGTAAAAACCTCACCTCCAGCGTAAGTGTATTTAAAACGTTGGTTGAGAGTGAATCTGAAGTGGGTATTTTTCTAAAACCCAATGATAGCGAGGTCCTAATGGTATCCAGCATTTTCACCCTGAAGTCGCGTAGGCATGACCTTTTATTTTTGCTCCTGGTTTAACAAACACTCAGGCAGAAGTGCTGTGAACTGCCAGATCTTCCCAAGGAGAATGTTCCTGGTGTAGCCTGACCCTTTAAGTACTCATCCATACCCTCAAATACAAGACTGGGGAATCCAGTTTTATGTTTACGTAGTTTTGTCTGCCTCAGACAGGAGAAGAGAGAATCATCATTCCCAAAAGCATTCTAAAATACAACCTGAAAAGCCAGACACAGCCATATTGATTTGCTTCTTGCAGAGTTGGGATGGGTTTTTTTTTAACAGAATACACTTGAGAACCATGCGTACTCCTAGAAAAATCCAGTGAAATGGTTATTACAATCACAGTTTCCATGTGGGAAAATAAATCGGACACATTTCAGAAGAATTAATGAACAATTATATCTTTCTTGCTGGCAAAACCATCTTACAGGCATGCTCAAAATGGAACCTCCTGCTGATCCTTCCTAAACTGCATACCTCAACTGTGGATCATTACATCAGCCAAGCAAGGAAAAGACAGGGTACTTGAACAGCACAGTAATATTTTGGTATGTACACAGTCCAGCCACACTGACCTCCAGAATCCAGCACAGCTCCAGAACACTGGGATTTCTAAGAAACACTATATACTTTTCTATAGATATTGTCAGATGGAAAACAAAAATACAAAGTCTTTCAATACCTCAGGAAGCTTCCTTTAGTCATACACAGCCAGCGTTATTTTCCACTTCCTCCTGCCCCTTGCCCTTAAACCACAAGAAGCCAGGTAGAATAAGCTATGGAGAACAAAACGTAGCAGAAGGTGCCAGGATGCTGTAGCATAGAATGCTCTTACAGTCCAAGGCCCAAGACATGCAGCAAAACAAGCTGCCATGGCTGGTTACTACAGCACTCTTTATACTTCTTTCCCACATGCAAGGAGGTGTTAAATGAGGTTCTCAACGCTAATACATTTGGTTCTTCCAAATCCCTCAAGACTACTCCTACGATGACAGTATGTCTTAATGCATAGGCAGTACAGAGTTACAGTAATTTTATGGACTTGGTTCACATTAACACTTTACTGCTGTTTCCCTTATTCTCCCTTTTTTTTTCCCCCTACTGTCGGTTACATACGCTGACTGAATCCTCATTAAACAGTAAGCTGTTTGGGGCAAGGTTCTCTCTTTTTCAGGATTAAGCACACCACATAGTAACATACAAGAGCATACGGGGGTTTTATTATTTTTATTATTATTATTCTGGAATGTGTTACAGGACATTCTTCTCAAGGAGGTGAGTGGTATTAGCTGCAAGGAGAAAATCTCGCACGGCATGTTCCTTTGGTAATGTTGTTTTACAGGAGGAAAAGGAGGAGTCAAAAAATGGGAGGGAGCAGAAACATCATTAACTCACAGCAAACGGTCACCTCTTCAGGGACAACAGCAACAGACAACCTGAGAGAAAGAATAAAGCTCAGGTTTAGCACATATTTCACTAAGTGTGTGAAATCAAAGCACTTGCTTTGCATTTAAAAAACCAACAACAACCAAACCAACCCGCAAAAAAATCCAGATGCCATGCAGGAGAAGCAAAACTACGTTTCTTGGGGGAGTTCACCAGCTTTAAGTATTCGTTAGGCGAGATCCAGTATCCACTGAGCAGTCCCATGGAAAGTAGTTTAGGTAAGTGTATGTGAAAGCGAGACAGGAGAAAGTCAAAGCATGCTAACTCACCAAAACTACAATGCCGTGTTTCTTTCTGTGGAAAACAACTGGCCTAGAAACCAAATTCTTTGTAAAGAGATGCTGCCGTTTCAGCCACCTACATGAGCCATTCATGCACAGACTGAGACTCTTCACTGACAATACTGAATGCCATGTTCTGATTCACAAACTGAAAGCTGTTACCAACTTTTTCTTTGAAGAGGGTATGGAAAATAGGAGAAGTTCAGGTTAGTTACAAGGCAGAAGTTCTTCCCTGTGAGGGTGCTGAGGCGCTGGCACAGGGTGCCCAGAGAAGCTGTGGCTGTCCCATCCCCAAAAGTGTTCAAGGCCAGGCTGGACACAGGGGCTTGGAGCAAGCTGCTCTAGTTGAAGGTGTCCCTGCCCATGGCAGGGGGTTAGAACTGGATGATCTTAGGGGCCTTTCCAACCCAAGCCAGTCTGGGATTTTATGATTCTATGTTTGTAAACTGGCTTTCTGAAATGATCTGTTGTCCCAAGTTGCCTCTGTAACATAAGGATAAACCAGCTAAACTCAGGCTTTTCCCACAGTGTGTCACCATAACCCTCTTTACCTTCTGGAAATCTTACTGCTCACCAGATGCTTAGGTTAACTCCAGAGAAATGAAATCATGAGACCGAAAGGGCTGTCCCTCCTGTCAACAAAAAGAGAATACATTTGGAAAAGCTGTCATTTTTCTTTTAAAATAAATAAATATCATCATACAGCATCAGTGGAACTCTCTGCTATAGAAAGTCACTGAAACAAGAATCTACACATACGTAAAGGTGGAGCAGATGTTTTCATGCCACATCTAGGGGGACTGAAATTGTATTTTTCTTTTCCAAAGATACCAGGCTTTACTCTTCGAAGTTTCAAATAAATCTTTAGCAGACTAAAACCAGGCTTCTTGCCAAGAGAGAATGGAGATTATGGCACCTGCCCCCAGATGAGTTCCTCTGGAGCCTTTGTTGCTTGTAACTGTCAGGATCAAAGTGCTGGCCAAGATGGATGTTAGTGCTAACCCATCATGCTAATTCCTGGATAAGCCTTCCTGCGCTGCAACAAGCCATCTGAAAGTACTGTTTTTAACAGATTGCCAAGTCCTCCCATTCCCAGCTTCACTCAACGTATTGACCACCAACGCTATACAACACAGCCTAAGGCGCAGCTTGTGGTAGAGGTTTCAGAAGAACATGATTTGATCAGGTGGTGGCAGGTATTTAGCTATAGAAAAGGGTTTACAACTGTTGAAGTCCTTCGACTTCTCAAAGAAACTGCTATGTGATCTTCTCCGTTTCCCAAGAATAAGTTACTGCCTCTGCTTACACAGTCTGTTCTCCATGATGCTAACTAAATGGCAAAGAATTCTGTCCAGATGCCTCTCGAAGCCTGTAACTGCAAGACAGTACAACAAAAATAAAGCAAACCAATAAAAAAATCTCCGCTGGGGGATATGAACAGCAGCACCTCAGTGAATGTTTTACTGTTGCATTTAATTGACCACTTATAGAACAAGTATTTAGTGATTTCTGCCTTAATAAAACGGTTAAGACCAGAGTTCAGAAACACTGAAGTAAGTGCCCAGCTTGAGACCGATTCTAGGTATGCTTTTCTTCATGTGTTTTTGAAAACAAAGGGCATGCTTTTCTTTAAGAAACATTCATACCAAGGGAGATTACAAGTCTTCACATTAAAGCGCAAGTTTCTAGGCTGCTGGATATTTCCAAAAGGGTTCATGGTCATCCCATTTTCTCTGTGTTTCACACAACACATATTATAGATTTGCGCTTTTCCTGAAGAAGCCTCACAAATTTGACCTGTTTCTAGGCAGATATAAAAAGACACAGATTTTAAATGGTACAAAGTGACTTTCCTAAGCCAGGGAATTGTCAAATGTCCTTTCCCAAAAAACTGAAAGCATAAAGCTGTCTGCATGAGCTTTGTGATGGTCACGCATGTGATCTGCTGTACTTCTCATGACCCAGAAATTTCACAGGTGAGATGGACATAACATACAAGAGAGACACTGAAGTACTGGAGCATGTTCAGAGAAGGGCAACGGAGCTGGCGAAGGGCCTGGAGCACAAGTGTGATGGGGAACGGGTAAGGGACCTGGGGGGGGGGGTGTGTCTGAAGAAAAGGCTCGGGGGACCTTATAGCTCTCTACAAGTGCCTGACAGGAGGATGGAGTGAGGTGGGGCCGGTCTCTGCTTCCAAGTAACAAGGGATGGGACAAGAGGAAGCAGCCTCAAGCTGTGCCAGGGCAGGTTTAGACCAGAGAGGAGGACCAACTCCTTCCCCAGAGGGTGCTCGGGCATTGGAATAGGCTGCCCAGAGCAGTGCTGGAGTCACCCTCTCCGGAGGTATTGAAAAGATGTGCAGTGTAGATGTGGCACTTTGGGATGTGGTTTAGTGGTGGACTTTGCAGTGTTAGGTTCATGGCTAGACTCAATGACCTTCAATGTCTTTTCCAGTCTAAATGATTCTAAAGTAATACAGGCATGTGACACCATCTAGTGTTTTAAGAAGTTATTTTGTTCTGAATAAACAGTCTTTGCTTTCCCATAGCTCACCACTCAACAGTGAAAGCTATCGTTACCCTCACTGCAAGGTAATACTAATGAACTGCAGGAGTCCACAGTTTAAAAGCCTGATTTTAAGCAATGAATTCCAAGCACCCCAAACCTGCATGGAGCAACCTCAGAAACCACGTGGGTCTGAAGCTCAGTTAAGTCATGGATAGTGAGAGCTTCTATTTCTAATAAAGCCCGTTAAAATGAAGAAGCAACTGCTCCACCTCCCTCGTTTGCAACCTCTCCATTCCTAAATTCCCTTGCTCTCCGTTGCAATTCACTTTGTTCTCCAGCAGTCCCTCCCATTCTGCCCAAACACCACCTTTCCCCCTGAAACTATGACTTCGGGAAGTAAGTTTCAAGAAGAAATGTACAAGGTCAAAGAATGACAAACTGTCAGGCTCATCAAAAGAATCCTCAGGCTGGCCAGAGTCATAACTTCTAAATGCACTGGTTACATTAGTGTCCTCTACGGTTTATGTTTAGAAAGAAAAATTTAGAATAAGGACATACATGGTAGTGTTAGTCTAAGCTAATTCCTGTATATAGTTTCTACAACAAATGTAGGACCAATCTCACAAACAGGTCTGCTCTAGCACCCAGATCATAGAATCGTAGAATAGTTAGGGTTGGAAAGGACCTTAAGATCATCAAGTTCCAACCCCATGCCATGGGCAGGGACACCTCCCACTAAACCATTATCACCCAAGGCCTCGTCCTTGATACTGAATGTGACAGAGCAACTATGGAGAGGGGGGGAAAGGGAAGAAAAAACCTCTAATTAAAAAAAGAAAGGAGGACTTCTGTACAAGAGAGGGCATGTTCAAAGCAACCCCCCTTTAATACCGCATGGGCAAAAAGCCTCACAACAGGCACTGAAGTTGCTTGACTTAGTGAACCTATGCTCTTTTAATGTAACCTCTGAAATGCAGTTTTAACAGTATCCATGTGAATAATAGAAACAAAGAAGGGCGAGCTCTTGAGACAACTTCCCTCTCAACCATACTGACAAGGAATCTCTCTTCCCCTCAGGTGATTACCTTCACAATCTCTTGTAACAACCTGGCACTCCCGAAAGCTGTAATAGCTTATTAAAATGTTCAGTGGCTTTATCACTTAAGAACTGACAGATATACGCGGGCATAATGCTGCACCTATACCCAAACATCCTTAGAAAATAAAGCTAAAAAACCTCAAAACCTCAGTTTTTAGGGGAACCAAAATAATGAAGCCCAGTTTCCCGCACAGTATTGATTTTGCATCTAAAAAGAACAAACACTGGCTGAAGATTCTCCTGTGGTTCTGGCATTTGTGAGCATTCTCTTCTGTGAATTCTTCAGTGTACATTAAAACATGAGATCCTATTACAGCTTTTTTCCCCTCAGTTGTTGAGACATTTTCAGATACTAAGCCACTTGAGCTGCTACCTTCTAACTCATCTTTCATTCCAACCCTTGGAGAGAATGGACAGCAAGCATACAGGAGCCAGAGCTTGTTTTCTCCCATTTCTGATAGCTGCCAGAAGCTGTCACAAAAACCAGTTCTTCAAAGACCACAGTATTCCCAGAGCAGGGAGAATCTTGGCAGTATTTTTCCACTGCATTCTAGGAAGCACACCTAAACCAGAGGTTTTTCAGAAGTATAGAATTTGACTGCATCCATGGCAGGGCGTTGGAACTGGATGATACTAAGGTCCTTTCCAACTGAAACCATTCTGTGATTTCAAGACAACTATCAAACAACAGCATCCTGCAAACATGGCAAAGTACAACATGTTACAATCCTACTGTAAAGCACTATGGACGCTTTGTAGTCAGCAGTAGTCACTTTTCCTTAATGTCACTGTACCAATGTAGTTAGCCCTCTTCAATCAACCGAACAACCTGGTGCAGGCAGCTGCCAGGCCAAAGTCTGGAAATAACGACTGAGATGTGACAAAGTATAATGGATTGTGCCAGACAGTCTTAGTTGGCACATGAGACTTCACAATATATAGTAACAGGAACTTTAATGGCTAACTTTGTACTTCTTTCATACATCAGGAAATAAGACTGCCAAGTTATCACTGCATCATGAAAAAAAAAAACCTTCAACACATATTTAAAGTATAGCCATGACATTAAATGTACTTGCACAGAAACACGACAGATTGTCGAGAGCGGTCCTGAGGAGGAGGACTTGATGGTGTTGGCTGATGAGAAGCTCCCCATGACCCAGCTTCAGCATGTGCTGGGTGCACCACCAGTGTGAGCAGCAGGTCAAAAGAGAGGATTTTCCCCTTGCACTGGGCTCTTGAATCAAGTCCAGAGGAGGCCATGGAGATGCTGCAAGGGCTGGAGCAGCTCTGCTGTGGAGCCAGGCTGAGAGAGCTGGGCTGGGTCAGCCTGGAGAAGAGAAGGCTCCTGAAGGGGAGACCTCAGAGCAGCTCCAGTGCCTAAAGCGGCTCCAGGAAACCTGGAGAAGGGCTGTGGATAAGGGCCTGTAGGGCCAGGCCAAGGGGAATGGCTTTAACCTGCCAGAGGGGAGACTGAGATGAGCTTTTAGGCAGAAGCTCTTCCCTGTGAGGGTGCTGAGGCGCTGGCACAGGGTGTCCAGAGAAGCTGTGGCTGCCCCATCCCTGGCAGTGTTCAAGGCCAGGTTGGACACAGGGGCTTGGAGCGAGCTGCTCCAGTGGAAGGTGTCCCTGCCTATAACAGGGGGATGATCTTAGGATCCTTTCCAACCCAAACCATTCCATGATTCTATGGTTAATGTATTTCCAGATTAAGTAACAAGGATATTTCCATAGTCTGAAGACAGTCCCAGCAGGTGTTTTTTTTTTTTTTTCCTCTTATAGTCGAATATTGACATGAACTAGATGGTGACACCAAGCACTTGGTTACACACTGGAGTCACATTAAAGAAATAAAAAGTACAAAAAATTTGCATATTTAGGGAGAAAAACCAGCACCGTTTCACACACGCACACACTTTACAGCACCTGGAACTACCTGCTCTGCGGCCTTCTTCTGGTGCCGGCCTCCCGGGCCCCTTAACCCCCTCAGCCTTACTTGACCCTGGCCTGAAGCGCTCCCAAAAGCCGTAGCGCCCAAGGTGGCAGCCGCGCTCTCTCGCATCGCCTTTCACAGCCGGGGCCTCGCTCCGCCCCAAGGTGCCCGCTCCCCCCCGGCCACCCCAGCCCCTCTCGGACGCTGCCCCACAGCCGGGTGGCCGCCGCCGCTCCCTCACAACCACCTCGCTGCGGGCCCAGCACCTCCCGGCCGCACCACACCGCCCCTGCCAGCCGGAATCCCTACGCCGCCCAGAGAATAGTCCCCGTCCTCCGCTGCCGCTCCCGTCCGCCGGGGAACCGGGCACCGCGGCGGTCAGGCCCCGGTGTCGGCGGGGAGAGAACGCCCTCCCCCCGCGAGCAGAATCCTTCCGCCGCGCCGCCCGGGCTCCGCCGGTATCCCCGCCTCCTCGGCTAGATCCGGCCGGGCCGGCGCGGAGGGATTCCCGGGGGCTGCGCAGCGCCGGGGGGGGGGGGGGGGGGGGTGCGAGGGGGGGAGGAGGCGCCGGCGCCGCGGTGGCCCACTTCCCCCCCCTCGGCAGCCCGCGCTGCCGCCGCTCTCTCCCGCCCCCCCCGGCCCTGCCATGCCGGGCATGATGGAAAAGGGAGCGGAGCTCTTGGGGGGCAGGAGCCGGGCAGCCCCCAACGGCACCAAGAGCAGCAGCCCCTCCAACGGGCACTACTCGGAGCCGGAGAGCGGCGGCGGTGGTGACAGTGGCGACGAGCACGGTGCGAGCCTGGGGCCGCCCCGACAGCGGGGGAAGGAGGGGGGTGACGGGAGGGGCGCCGCGCCGTGCTCTGCCGCGCCGCGCCGCCTCCCCCTGCCCGGTGCCGGCACTGCCGCCGCCGCCGCGCGTCTGTGCTGCGGCGGGACGGGCCGCGGGGGAGGTGAGGGGAGGGGAGGGAAGGGAAGGGGGGGGAGCAAGAGGGGGTGCGCGGGAGCGCGCAGCGCGGCCCCGCGGTGCTTAACGATGGGGAGTGTCTCCCGGGAGTCGCCGCCGTCTCCATTGTTCCGCTGAAATAACTCCCCCTTCCGCCTCCGGCCCCCTCCCCGCCGGTCGTCGGGGCTTCATCATCGGCGGCGGCGGCGGCGGGCGGGGTGGCGGCGGCGGCTGGGGGGAGGTGGCTTATTCCGCACGGCCGCGGCGGGGGCTCCCGGGCGGCGCGTCCCCAGCCTGCCCGGGCACAGGCACGGCGCTAATTTCTCTTCCCCCCCCTCCCCTTCCTTTGCGTTGCAGATGTAGGCATGAGGGTCGGAGCGGAATACCAGGCGCGCATTCCTGACTTCGAGCCCGGTAAATGGCTTCTCGGCTGTACCCTGACATCTTGCCGCCGCCGTTCCCGAGCCGGGAGGGATGGGGGTCGGTGCTGGGGAGGGCTCGGCTCGGCGCTCTCCCGGCGGCGGCCGCCGCGGGGCTGTGTTTATGCTGCTTTGCAGCCTTTGTGTTGGCGATCCGGTGCCGGCGGCGGGGCAGCGGCTGGCTCCCGGGAGCGAGGGCACCGCGGTGGGAGTATTCCCGCTCGGCTGATGGCGAATTCCCCTTCGCTGTCGGGCGCGTTGTGTTGTGTCCGGCGGGAGGCGGCGGAGCAGAAAAAGGTTGGATGCTTTTTATTCCCCCCCCCCCCCCCTTCTTAAGCCATAGGGCATGTCCTGTGTTAACCAGGTGACTTAAGGATATTCGCCGTGGGGAGATGGATGTTTTCGGGCAGGGGTGGGAATTGATGCGCCTGCCGGAAGCGGAGCAGACCTGGCTGCGTGCTGGAGGCGCTGGGTGGAAGATGCGCTGGGTGGGAAACTCCTGCCCCTGGTCTTGCGTGCCGTAGTAGCCCCGCTCACCCCGCTGCTGCAGGCTGAGCCGCTCTCCTCCGCCTTCCTTCCCCCCCCCCCCCCCCCCAGCCCCGCCCCGAGGAATACTGGGCACGTTCGCATTAGCCTAGTGCTCGGTCTTAAGCGAGTTGATGGCTAGAATGCTGCCTTGCGTTACTACCGCGAGCAGTGAGACCGTAGGAGCGTTGATCGGTTCTGCTGTAGTGGCCAGATGAAGCCTATCTACTTTCCTGTTCTCCAAACAGGCTCCATTGGTGTCAGATGATTTCCTACCGGAAGAGGATTGGGCCAGAGCTTCTCACATAGTGTCTCCTAAAGCTGGAGCGAGCCCCTCTTCATGGGCGCAAGTCCCCACAGGCCAAAGAAAAGGCCGGGGGAAAGAAAGGGGAGGGTGGGATTAAATGGATGCGTGATCTTGGCATAAGGGAATGCCTCTTCCCCGAGAAAGGAGCGCGTAGTCGAGGTCTCTTTGTTAATAAGCCTAACCGTTTGCACCCTTTATTTTTACGTTGCCTACATAAAAATAAACATAAATAAAAATTACCCTTTCTAATGTGTAACCCAGGCTTGTTTTTCCTACAGGCTGCTTAAATTCGAAAAACACAGTGTTTGTTTTTCTTTCGATTAAAAGAGCTCTTCACCCCTTTTAGGACAACTGAGGATCTGTGGTTTCAGTTTTGTGAACTGTATCTGCAATAGCATCATTGCATTTGTACCCACAGAAGTAATTTTATACTCTTTTATAACCAGATGGTTTAGCGCTCCTAAGTGCCCGGGGGGGGTAGGGGGGGTGAAATTCAACTGATGCTCCTTTCCCTAATAACTGCAATTAATACATACTGCTTTATCACTTTCCTTAAGGATGGAAATCTTTAAGAAGTCATGTGTAAGAGGCATAATGTACAGTAGTGTTGTTCTTAGTGTGCATTTTGATTACTAGGGCAAGAAGGTGGTAACTTTTTTTTTTTTTGGAACACCTAAGTATTATGGGGAAAAAAAGAACTAAGTCCATAAAGGGCAGAAGTACTGTACATATTTACTGTGTTAGCAGAGTGGTTATCTGAGAGCTCATGCTTTCCCCTTTTTTGTTATGAGTCTTGAGGTGTCGTATCTTAGAGATGGAAGTGATGCTGGGCTATAAGAGGTGTTCTCTTATCATAGCTACACTTGGATTACTTTTGTCCAGGGGGGGCAAATATTGTAACAAACACTCCATTGTACTCCCAGGTTTGCATATATGGGCATAGGCACTATCTTTAACTAATTTAAGTGCTGTTTCTTCTCGCAGTTCCTTTAATGCCTGTTTTGAGAGTTTAACACAGGTTACAAAGTCAGCTGTGTGTTACACACACAGAGTACTAAAATGGGTAGAATGACTACCCATCCTTTGGCCTCGCTTAGCCTGTGTTGAAAAATATTCATAAGCAGTGCATTGAGGAACAAAACGTTCATGATTGAAGTTGTGATGGTAGTAGACCTTTTGTAACCTGAGTTCATGTATAAAATAAGATATATTTAACTTTTTAAAGAAAAAAGTGTATCAGTTGTAAGGGAAGTAGCATTCTAACTGTCACCGGATACTACTGCAATGAGAGAAATTTTCTTACTGCAGAAAGCAGTTTTAATCAAAATCCTAAATTTCCTTGGTTTATTCACTCGGTGAATTAGGTATCGCCTGCACTGCAGGTTCCTGTCTCCCTGCTCGTTTTCCTGTAGTACTTCATATTCTGGAGGTGAAACTGTTTCTGCCTGTACTTTCCGGCCCACCTATAGGTGCAGCAGGATGTTACAAAGCTGATATCTTTGTTATGGGCTGCTTGCGTTCTCTTGGGAAGCGTAGTGGAGAGTGCCATCACTGCAGAAGGGCCATTCTGCGTGTGAAATAACTGCTGGAGAAGCTTTACTCTGCTCAGATTTGGACTTCCCGAAAGCTGTACTATGAATTTTGTTTGCTAAATATAGAAATACTTATTTCCCATCTGCCCCCTTCTCAGGGGTGAGCAGGGGCTGTCAAGAAGAACGCTCTGTAACTTTCAAGGTCACTTATGGAGTCCATTTCTGGGTACATCCTTGTAACTTTTCTCCCTCTAGTCTTCCTATATGAAAACAGGCTTCCTTAAATTGAAGTTATTAAATGGTGAGGTGAAGTACGTAATTTCTTCCACTTACTCCATGCAATCTGACCTCACATTCCCTGATTATCTTTTTTATTTACTTATTTTGAAGATTTCCAGTCCTTTATTGTAGAAATTGAGTTCTTCCTTCCATTAGTTCCTGTGTTTGTGTTCCTACTCGCAAAGCTTAGTCTTAAGCAGGGGATGATACTCTCTGTGCTGGCAAAGATGATGATACTTTCTATACCCGAGTCGTGTACAGAACAGCAGCATCCATGTGTACATAACTTCTAAGGTTAAGCTGAAATTTAACAAGTGTCAGTTTCCTGCTACAGTTTCCCTATTCTGTACAGTTCATTCAAGTACAGAAACCTCTTCTGAGGTGGGTTGAATGTGGGGTTTGGGCCAAGGGAGACTTGTCAGATTTGAGATGTAGCTTGCAGTCCTTCTCTTCCTTACTGGCTTACAATTCTACTCTTCTAACGTGCTTTGGTTAACATGTTGCCTGGTATTTCCAGCCGCTGTCCATAATAAGAATGGAATTTGCAGATGTAGATCATGCTGCCCTTGAGCTGAAACACAGCCTTTTTGCAGGGGGAGTACTGCTGACTTGAATACTTGGGGTACAAAGGACGAGAAGCAGTTCTCGTAAAGATAGATCATAGTCCTGCATGTGGAGATGGAGGGATCCCTGGGCTGTAGCTATGGACGTGCAGTGTTGACAGGATGCCTTCCTTTGAGCTCCCTATGTGCAGCCCATTGTCCTCTGTCATTCTTGCTTTCCTTTTGGCAGTGTGAAGATGCCCCCAGCATGGAAACAGTTGTCTGATTGTACTGGAGAAACAGCAATGCTTCAAAAAGGGGTGTCCTGGTGGGAGCTGTTTGTTAGTCATGTGAGGCTGGCACCTCAGTAGGGGAGTCACATATGCCACTGCATATGTGATCTTCTGCAGGCACAAATGACAGGACCCTGAAACTCAAGGTTTTCATCTCATAATATCCATGATACCTGCTTGTTCGCAGGTGTCTGTCCAGGATTTGGAAATAACTGAGGGTGTACTCAAGTTTAGCTGCTTCTTGCTGACAACCTGAAATTCTGATGCATTCTGTAGTGGTCCTGTGCTCATTTCTTAGTTAGAGTGGGGTACAGGGGAGCAGTCATTTACTTCTGATAAAAGCTGAACGATGAGAAATGTGAATGTGACATGTTTGCGTTATTCTTCATGAAGTATTGCATTTCTAGTAAGTCCAGTTGGCATGCTTTTTTTGTTCTAAAGGAGAATGTTATAATAAGGAATTGGTTCTTATCCACCAAAACCCTTCGAGTTCAGTACTGCTTATGCCTTGACACTGGTGCTTTATGACTGTGTGCATTTTTAACTTACTACAGAATTTACGGTGCATTTAGATTATTTGTCGTAAGTGTCTCCTTTTGGAAGACACGACTTCTTTGAGTTTAATTACCTGGTTTTCAAGTTCACGGTCATAATGGATCTAAAGATTGCAAAGATGATAGCAAATACAGAAGAAGGCTGCCAGACTAAAGAGGGAAGAACAACAAAACACAGTACCTGATTGGGAAGCACTAAGTTCTCTTTTCCAAGGCACTGATTTGTTGTGTTCTTTTTCCTTCAACAAGATGTAGAACCTAAATATAAAGTGTGGCAGCATAAAATGGCATGAAAAGTTATTTGTTTCACCAAGGAAAAAAACAAACCTGTCCTTCTCCAAGAAGGATACAAGAAAAAATTCCTCTGAGGGCGACTCCTCAAGGAATTCATACTGACACGAGCGTAAATGGTCCAATTGTTGAGCAATATCTTAGCAAGATAAACCGTTAAACAAATAGATTGTAAGCAGCTTGATGCAGTAGCATATGTTTGTGAAACAGTAACAAAAATTACTTGGTGCTGGTCCCATATTGGGGAGTTTCCTTTTTTTTCAGTATGTGTGGGGTTTTTTTAAATCAAAGGCAATGATGTAGTGCTTTGTATGAGGTTGCATCAGTATTGCTCCCTTCTCCTGATAGGTTAGGTAACTTGGACTGCTTTGTTTGCTACATTCAGGTGGAGGTGGAGAGCAAACAAAACAAGGTGACCACCCAGCCACCCACTTTGGTTGGCTGTGAATGTAAGAAATGCATAGCTATGAAAATCAAAACTAGACACAGATTAACAGTTACTTTGTGCGTAGTTGTTAGGATCTTTCCTTGTTGAAAGATCAGGGATGGTGACTGTATTCTACCCTCTTACCTTTTTGTCATCATTGAGCTTTCATTGTTGGGGGGTATTTGTTTAAAGGCAGCCTAACTTGACACAGTAGATCTTGATGCTCTATGATAGTGACAGATGTGCTGATAGAAATCTTCACTTCTGGAGGACTATTCCAGCACAAGTACCTGTACATTTTGCAGCCAGCCAGCTTTAGCAATGCACTATAATGCTCCTGTTGTGGTAAGCGTGATCCTGTCTAATAACCAGTTATAACTGAACCTTGTAAGAGTAGTGTTCAAATTCAGCTATTCACAAAATTCAGTGTCTTAAGGAAATAATGTGGCATTTTTAATGCCCTCTCTCCTCCCCCAGTAGCTAGGCTGAACTTCTTAATGTGGTTGACTTGTATTTACTGTCCTGTGAATAGTTGCTCTCAAGATCATATTTATAAATACTGAGACTTCCCTGTTTTCTTACAGGTGCCACAAAATATACTGATAAAGATAATGGAGGGATGCTTGTATGGTCTCCGTATCATAATATTCCAGATGCCAAGTGTAAGTCCTTCCCTGCTTAGGAATTTGGATGCTCAGTTGTAACTAAATAATTGTTTCTGGTGTGCCTGTTCATTCTGGATTTTTACACACAGTGAAACTGCAAATAGTAAATTAAGCACAAAGCTTCTCTTCTATTTTTCGTTTAGAGAACTCCACGGAAAGGAAAAATCACCTTCTCTTGTTTTATAGTTAAGTCTTTGTTTCAAATCAAAGCCTGTGTTGATCTATCATCAGTGTCTGTAAAACCTTTAGTTTTTAGTAAAAGAATAAAACATCTAAACATGCTCTAAATTGCCAGAAGAATTTGCAGTGGAAAATTCCAGAAAAGATGTGTTGAGGCCTCATTTAGGGGGGAGCTGTTATTGCTGTCTTATCAGGAAAAACTGAGCATTTTCTCCCTTCTGAAGTGATGGGACTCATCTGACTAAATGTGAACACTTACCTGTTTAATCTAGTTTAAACCTGCCTCCTGTGCTAGAATTTCCCATATGTAATATAGGGGAATAAACCTTGAGGATGCAGTCGTGCGAACCTGATCCTCAAGGACAGTTTCTGTCTGTTACCAGTAGTTGGTAGTTGAAGGAACGTACCTTCTACTGAAGAACAGTTGGGAATAAAATACTCTACACATCTGGTCAGTAAACACTTTAAACTGCAAAAGGAGTTGTGGCAAGGACGTCTCTGATCTGTTTGAATATTGAGGATATCATTATTTCCCTTTCTCAGTCGTGCTTCCTTTCAGCTACGTTCAGTTGCCCCTTAACTGGGAACTGTAGAAGGTGGAGAGTGTTTCTTTACAAATACAAGTTACCCACTGAAGATCAAAACTAGCAGGACTTGACTGCAAAGTGAGGGCAAGAGCCCGACACAAAGCTGGCTTTACTGTGGCCAAAGATCACTTTAAAAAATGGTACTGATGAATTTTGATGACCTGATTATTCAGTCTTAGTATTCTCTATTGGAAACTGACTTTGTCCCATGGTTAAAATGAATGTTGGTCAGTGAAATCTATGAAATACCAAGGATATGCATGATCATTGATCTCAGATCTCTTTACATTAATTTTTAACGTGTTTGGGAATACGAACAGTAGAAGTAGTTCAATTTAAAACTCAGCCAGGTGTCTGTGTTCTTTGGAGTGAGTTCCAGGAAGACATAGCCTTTCAATAACTAGCTGGTCTCGGATTTAAATACATGATGAGCCTGTGTGGCTTTGTTGTGATAAAAATGTGAAAGAAAGTAGCTTTTTCACTGAGAATTGGCCTGTGTAAAAAGTCGATATTAAATTAAAAGCGGTGGGTTTATTATTTTAAAGCTGTGAATATATGTAAGGGTTTGGGGGATCTGGGCCTATACAGTGTATTAAAGCATGGGAAGACCATTTTCCCATGATAGATGGCTAATTCTGTGTCACCTTATAGCAGAACTGAAAGTACTAAAGAATAATTCTGGCATTGCTTTGTTACAGTGGATGAATATATAGCAATAGCAAAGGAGAAACATGGATACAATGTGGAACAGGTAAGTGCCATGAAATGAGAGTGCTCTTTTAAAGGGTTCTTTTTAATGTAAAAGAATAACACAACTCTTTTCTTTTTACTCTTTTCCCCTTGGTTACCATTAATTAACGCTGTTTCTCTTCAGGCACGGCAGCAAACACTGCAGTTAAATGGATCTGCATACAGTTGGGGTCTGGAGTCTCTGCAAAAGATTGAGCTCTTTGTTTTCATGACATGCTCAGCTTGTAGTGTGCACTTTTGAAAAGGTTTGGTATGTTTCTTGATACACTGGGCATGTCATGCAATTGTGTGTGTATATTTAGTTAACGAATTCCCTAGGAAGGCAGCTTACGAATTTCATGTTTAATATTAGAATTCAAATACGGTGCCGTTTTTAACCATTAAGTGTGGTAAGGACACCATTGGGAAGGTTTCTTGAGAGAGAGACAAACCAACTTGAAGTGAGTGTTTTTTTCAGAGGCAGGAAAAGAGAAATTCCAAGGATTGAGAAGAAGAAACAAGTTCACTTTGGGTTTTTTTTTCTAATAACCTTTAGTCACCATCCTGTCAAAAGTACAGGATAAAACTTTGCTGCTCTGCACTTAGTGCTGTTGTCAGTTTCTTCATAAGCTAACCAGTTTATGTAAAGGTGATATTGCATATAATAAAATATTTGGTGTACCAATGGAAATAAGTGGTACAGTGAAGTTTTGGATGATGGAGGCTCATAATAGCAATGACTTGCTAGCCAAGTGCTATCTGAAGGAGAAGCTGCCAGTATTGCCGTGTCCAGAATGCCTGCAGTTTGGTGATGTTTGTTTCTGGTCTGGCTTTTATTAGAGGAGAGAGGGAACTGAGGGATCTCAAACGAAGTCTGTGAAAAGGACCAATTTCCAAAATAACTTGCGGTACAGAATCTTTGAAACTGTTCACAGTGGAATAAAAGTTATCTTTGCAAGAGGTTGGCTGTCACTTGCCATTGTCACAGGAAAAGAGGTTTGCCATGTCCAGGTTATTAGGAGATGTGAAGCCAGGGGTTTAGAGAGCTGATGAACAAGTGGTCATCACGTCTGCACTGTATCATAGATAGAACCATAGGCTGGTTTGGCTTGGAAGGGACCTTAAAGCTCAACCAGTTCCGACCCCCTGCCATGGGCAGGGGCACCTTCCACTAGAGCAGGTTGAAACTGAAGTGTGGTTGAAACCTGAATGGATTACACTTCCAGGTGTGAGGCTTGGCTTCCAATCTGTCATTGATTCTCTGGCAGAAAGTCTCATCAGCTGTAAGGATATAAAGAAATTAAATTACATGAGAAAGTGCATTTAGATTTCCATTCCTTATTAGGTGCACGTGACATGGGAATGGCCGTGCTGTTGTTTGTGCATCGGAGAGCTGTAGAAAGAGCACTCTCACTTTGACCTTTCAGACTTGCATTTTGGATGATCCTCTGGCTGCTGCAGAGTATTTTTGTTTTCTCTTTCGAATGGGCTGGTAATAAAGGCCTGAAGACCTGTAAGGAGCTGTGTAGGTGATACCTACTTGTAAAGGAAGAAAGCAGGTCAGATTTGAGCCTGTCAGCCTAGTTCGTGCTCGCTCAGAATTACTGCTGCCATGCCAACCTTAAATTGCCTGGCTTTCATACCTTTAATGAAGTACGGATGTGCCCACTCTTCATATTGTCTCCAAAGAGAGTTCTGTAACCTATAGCGCATAGTCAGATGAAGTTGTAAATACGTTTTGAGAAGGGGTTCCGGCAGTCAGGTTTTGCTTTAAATAAATAAATTGCCTTTTTTCAACTTGTCTCAGCATTTGAGAAAGTTGACTAAATCCAAAAAGGGGCTGTTTCTTTTCAAAGGCTCTCGGCATGCTCTTCTGGCATAAACACAATATTGAGAAGTCCCTTGCGGATCTGCCCAACTTCACTCCTTTCCCCGATGAATGGACAGTTGAAGATAAAGTCCTGTTTGAGCAAGCATTTAGCTTCCATGGAAAGAGCTTTCACAGGATCCAGCAAATGGTAAAGTACTACTTTAATCGGAAGCATTAAACAGTTCAGAAGGCCTAAGAACTGAGGCTCCTGTTGGGTTAAGTCTCATGATTTCTGTGTGAAAGCTTCAGGAACAACCGGGAATGTAAGATTTAAGTTAATTTCATCGTGTCCCTTGGACCTATAGTTTTTTCCCTCTAATACAACCTCTTCTTCCTTTCTCCGTTAACAAATACACCAAATACATCCCTCCTTTCCATCTCATCTGTGTATTTAAGATATTTGGGTAAAGGTGGTTATAAAGAGAGCAGAATTACAATCTTGGGGTGCGATTTTCATTGTAACACATATTAATGTATAATGAATTCTTCTAGCTTCCAGACAAGACTATTGCAAGCCTTGTAAAATACTACTATTCTTGGAAAAAAACGCGCTCTAGGACAAGTTTGATGGATCGACAGGCTCGGAAATTGGCTAACAGGAATAATCAAGGTGACAGGTAAGTTTTAGGCTCTTAAGTAGCTAACTAGAGTAGGGACATCAGGGTAATTTCCATCCACTGTGTTTCAGCGTGAACCATATTTTCAGGTCTGAGCATCAGTTAGCACGGGGTTTGGTACCCGTGCTTTACGAGCTATATCACTCCAGTTGTTGGGGTTGGTTGTAACAGACTGAAGGGCTTTAATGGATAACAGTCAAAAAACAAGGGTTTAAAAAAAGTCTGGGAATGTGGTTTACAAATAATGCTTCATTCAAGAAGTCTAACCCTCTGTTTTTGGGGGGGGGAGTACAGTGGTTTGGGGGGGGGATTTTCTGCTGTCTTTTTGCACTAGAATGGAGTTAAAACTGAAAGATCAACCACTATAAAGAGCTGTAGCAATTAGAATGCCCAAATACTGATTTCTAACAAAGCTTTACATAAAGTCTTATTTTAGGAGACGTAGAACCACCATCAGTCAAAGGGAATTAGAGCTGAAAATGGTTTTAAATTGTCTTGAATAGAAGGAAATGACGTTTCCCCTAGTTACTATGAAATTGAAATTATACTGCACTTATAATACTGGAGTATTAGCTTACTTTTCTCTTTTTAAAGAGATTTTATAGGTTGAATGTGTAAGTAACGTGATCAAGTTCACGTTGGAAAGTATGCTTTTACATCTTCAGAAAACTGTCTACCTAGAGCAGAAGTGCCTTATTCACTTATGTTATTAGAAAGAACTCCTGAAATCTAAAATCAGTATGCTTACTTGTGACCCTGCAGCTGAACAATCACAGAAGAAAATCAGTTTGCTTCTGATAGAGAATTTTTTGATCTATTTTTCAATAACTGGCCAATTTTCTGGTGTTCTTACATTCATTTATTCAGAAATCGTATTGTGTGAATCACCGGATTGGACTTGACTTAACTAACTGTTATCTTTTCAACCTTTCTGATTTAATTCAATAGATTTCATTATTCCCAGTTCCTAGATCTTGAGCACTTTGGTGACAAGCAGTCCTGTGTTTTCCCATCTTACGTTGTCCCCTTTTGCTCTGCACAGGCTAATGTGGCAAATGAAAGGTTATCTGCAGCCTTGGTATAGTTGACCACGTAAGCGTTCGTGCTGGCACAAGTGGTTGTATTGAAAAAAGGTGACACCAAAATATTTTGGCAGAGCAGTACCACCTCTGTTTAAAGTCATTTTGAAACTAGAGTTTGGGATTGCTTGTTCAGCATTGTAATTACTAGAATTTAATAGAGGAAATATGTTTGTAACAGTTCTCTCTTGAAAACTACAAGTAACTTTGGGGTGCTGTATACTTGGAGACTTCTGGCTTACTCTGATACATGTTTATATTTGGCCTTAAAAAACAGATAAAATGACCAGCTTCTTATAATATCTCTCCTCAGTGATGATGATGTAGAAGAAGCTCATCCAATGGATGGAAACGATAGTGATTATGATCCCAAAAAAGAAGCCAAAAAGGAGGTAACAGATAGCTTAACGGTGAATGTCAGTTTGTTTGTTTTCTGTCAATGTGATACCACGGAGAGCATGACTTGTAGTGAAGAGGTTTAGCTTGTAGCCTGCAGGAGTCACAGGGGTTTTAGGGGATCAGCATCTTGACAACTTCTGATAGGTGAAACAACATTCCCCCTCCCTCTGTCCTGTTAATGTGCTGACAGTTTTACTAGTTAGGAATTATTGAAATCTAAATGGGGGTTTTTTGCCTTTCAAAATTAAATGATGTTTTTCCAAGAATAACCTTTTCTGTTCCTTCAAAGCCACAGTGAGGTGGTGCTTTTCAACTAATATGTGCCTTCACTGGAATGCTTTCTACTAAGAAATGTAGAGACAATCATTAACGAGCACTTACTGTTAGCTTTACAGCCAAGTGCTACGTTTGGGGTATGTTCAGGTTTTGTTTTGGGCGGGGGGGTGTCTTTTGTTAAATCCTCTTTATGAATAAGACTGTAAAACATCTGAGTGTGTAAATGGTCATTTCCTTTATTAACTTAATGAGCTTGTGATTTTCCTGCAATGGAACAGTTCATGCTTCTTGAGAATGTGGGAGGAGAGTAGTAGTGCAAACCCTCAACATTCCCATGAAGTGGTACCTATGATTATTAATAAAACTTTGCAGTTCTATCAGAAATGATGCTGAGTAAGAGACTGAGAGGTTTAGATTCGGTTCTCGGCTTTGCAGTGACCTTCAATGTATTGCTTTATCTCATGCCTCAAGAAAGGCCAGTTACAGTTACTCCTTTCTGTAAGCAGAGCTTTTTAAGTTTTTTAGCATGCCAGGATATTGCTTTGAAATGGCACAAGGCCTAATAATGAACCTTTTTACATTTCACTCCACTGTTGTAACAATGTGCTTGCAATCTGTTGATCTGAGTTGCTGCGTAAGACACTTCTAAATAAGGGCTGTTTTGTTCCATTTACTTTCCTTGGTTATCGTTAGAATTGCTACATGCAGTCCAGAATGAAAGTAGTTTCTTGATAGATTTCTAGGAACAGAACAAATAGATTTTCACTTTCTGATGAGCTGTTTGGATCTGTGTAAGATAATTCTGTGATCTAATATTTGTGGTAGGATCTGTGTGCTTTCAGTTTCTTAGCGCTATATAAACTAGGTGGGTTACTTGAATGTGCAGAGCGCTGGGAACTTTGCTGCCAGAAAAGACTAAACCAAGCCAAACGCTCTAGTGTGGCAAGACAAAAGCTTGGGAGAACATTGTCATCTTAAATCCAGATTGAGCAGACAGGATCTGCAGTTTCATACTGCAAGAGCAATGCTGACCCAAAACCCAAATGGCATAAATGGTCCAGAAGCGAACTTAACCTTGGGATTTTTAGATGTCAGAGGTGTAATGCTCTGGGTCAACTTGACAAAGAAGAGCAAGTATCTGAAGTGCAAATATCTTAAATGGCCTCTACGAAGTCCCTGGACTGGATTAAGATGTTACATTAGCTGGGAAGAGAATGTGGCAGAAGGTCAAGCATAGTAGAGCAAAAATTACTGTTTGCTGATCCATACTAATAGTAGAGAACATTAATAGTGGCTGCTGCAATTTGTTTTCTCTTCATGGTGATCAGATAACCACCTCCTCTTAACTTGCATGGATGCCAGCAAGGAGGAGCAGTAGGGAGCTGCTTGAAGTAGCAAAAAGCCTGAATCCCATCTCTGTTCTGGTACTGAGCATTGCTTTGAATTGGAAAGCCCTTGCAGGAAAAGTAGTTTTTGCTTCTGTAGACCTGGTTTGTAGGAATCTTAAATGGTTGCTCTATGGGAGTCACATACATGCAGACTAGCTGTTGTGCAGCAATGCCTATTGAAAACAAAGCTGAACATTTTAGGCGTCCAAACGTGTCAAACCAGCAGTTACAAAGCCTTCATCTCCTCTTTGCTATCCCTTTCCACTTCAGAAAGCAAACAAGAAACGCTTAAGTTTGCTAAGTTACATAGATTTTTATAATAACTGCCAAAGTACATCCATCCTTTCTCTGCCAGACCTCCAATCCCCTCCCAAAGCAAACAGCACTATCACTTACCATAGAGTGCTTACAGCAGGGAGAAGTGTCATCTTGCATTCTTGCCCTTCGTGGTTGACTCCGAGTCTTCTTTCTTCTCCCTTGATCTTCCCCTGAACTCTTCATATCTGATCAGAAATAAATGTGTAAATTCACTGATTAGTTTGTTTGAACATGTAATATATATGTATGTATTCTTTATCTTCTGCTTATATAAGGAGGTTCTCAATTTTTGCCCTCTTCACAGTATTCAGGCTGTGTTTTCTATGCCATTTAGTGTGTTATCAGCCATGTTTAGAAAGCTTTGAAAACCGGCCTAAGACTTAATGCAGGCTTATCCAGCAAATGCCCCATCAGCTCATCTGCAAGTCTTAGCGTGGATACTACGTACAGAGGAGGATGTTAGCTTAGGTTATCTTTGTCATAAATACGACATTAAAATGCTGTGTGATACTTTATTGAAGTTGTTTGCAAGATACTGTTATTCTTTAATGATTTATTTCTTGTAAATTAAAGGGCAATAATGAGCAGCCTGTTCAGACCAGCAAAATAGGTCTGGGTAGAAGAGAGTATCAGAGCTTGCAGCATCGCCACCATTCTCAGCGTTCCAAATGCCGTCCACCAAAAGGCATGTACCTGACCCAGGAAGATGTGATAGCTGTTTCCTGTAGCCCCAATGCAGCCAACACAATTCTTAGACAGCTGGATATGGAACTAATCTCATTAAAGCGACAGGTACCATGGGTTATTGGTCTTGTTTTGTTTTCATCTCAGATTGTTCTGATTGTAATGATTTTGAAGATTATCTGTGAAGATTCTGAAACTTCTTTAATGTGAGTCTTCCCAACTTTGTTATCACCAGAAATGCTGGACGCTACCCGACTAGCTGTTTGTTGGTTATTGTTTTTATGTTACTAACATGGAAAAGGACGACTTCCTTTTCAAAAGAAGGAAAAAGAGGGGGGGTACCGCATGAAAACAATATTACAGGGTTGGGGACAGGAGAAAACTAAAGTCGCGTTTGATGTGATTTATGTTAACTTTGTTAAAAGGATTTGTGTAACAAGGGAGAATAAGACCAAGGTATCAGAGGAAATTATATTTATTATGCTTAAAATTGTAGCTGTTTCTCTGGATGGCCTTCCCCACATACCATGGGGAGGGTGGGAGCGGGGAAGAGATCATGGATGTAGTTATTTCTTTTGTTTGAGCTTTCTAACTCTTAACCAAACTCAGAACAGCTTTGCAGTCCTCACCTTTTAAGAGGACAACTGCCTGCCTCCTTTGCGCGAAGAAATGAACTTTGGCACTTTAAGTTGAAACGCAGAATGTGTTGAGCTTCTCAGGGTACTGCAGTATGTGCACGCTTGCTTTCTAGGAGTGATGGGGCTACAAAGTCAAGGCTTATCTCCTGGAATTTCTGCCTCCTTATAGATCGCTAAGAGCTGCCATGTTGCAAAACCATGGAGTGAATAAAGGCTTTCGTGGGGTTTTTTGCTCCCTTGTACTCTTTTACAGGAGAAATATGCTTCTTTCTGTCACAGCAGGACTCGGGGGCTCAATAGCATAGGTGGGTTTCGCTTTTTAGCCTAAGTGTAGGTGAGTTAGAGCCTTGAGGTTCTGTTTCTCTTTTTTTTTTCCTTGCAGTGATCTCAGAGGTGCAGCCTTTGGAATCTCCCACTGAGTTGCCTGCTTTTGTGTCCATACTTAAGAACACTTGTAATAGCTGTGCACCATAGTATGCAAACTTATTTTCTTACCTATGTTACTTGATACGCATCATATACCTATATGAATGATTTGGAAACTCTCTCCTTTTTATAGCCCAAGTTATTTTATGTCAGTACTTCAGATCCTTTCACCCTGAAAGGAAATCGTGTTGATCTAGGGTCAATAAAAAGCAGTCTTGTGAGAAGGAACCAACTGGAAACATCTTGTAAACCTTTCTTCCCCTCCCCTTAAGTGCTTTTTTGGAGAAGGAAGAAGTTCCTGTATGCAGGACATCTCACTTAGGTTCCCAAGAAGCACATTTTGTGTCTCGAATACTCTGCATTCTTCTTCAAGAACACACACGCATGGTTATCAAAACTTGCTTGTTCTGTCCTCCTTGGAGTACTCCTGCAGACAAACTGTTCTCTTGAAAGACTGCCTTAAATATTTTTCTCTCCATAGTAAACTGTGCTGTATTTTTTGAAGTTGATTTTTTTTTTAACCACTTAAAAGTAGTGAAGCCTTAAACCATAATATTTCTCTTTCTAACTTAGGAGGTACACTTGTGGCAATCCTAGTGAAGATATATGTGTAAAGTGACCAACTTTCTTTGTGGAGCTGATTAACTTTGTTGTTTTTGACCAAGGTTCAAAATGCTAAGCAAGTAAACAGTGCACTTAAACAGAAAATGGAAGGCGGGATTGAAGAATTCAAACCTCCTGAGGTAAATCACAATAAACCCTAGACCTTGTGGCCTTGCGCTTGCATTGCTAGGAAGCTGCAGGAATGTGTTTTGCTGCAGCACAGCGTTTGCATTTCAGCAGCAGCTTAAACAGGATCTATTGAATTACATGCAGGGGTGAGTCTGGCTTCTTTACAAGGAATTAGTGGTAGGCTTTTCTTATGCAACTGGCTGAATAAAGAACCAGAAGAAAATGGAATGCCATGTGTATTCAGGAGAACAGGGAGCTAACATTGAGCCCTGATGTATGGGTTGCGTTGGGGTTTTTTTCCTGATTAAAAGTAGATTATGTAGATTGCTAGCAGTCAATTCTATGTTCTGTGTGACTGTACATATATTTGGGCATCTGAAGTGAATGACTTACTACTACTGAACTTCTCTTTTTGCTTGTTTTAAAGGCTTGGCTATGAACCATAACTTGAATGCAAAACGCTCCAGACACCAAGTCCTAATAGTTTAGAGAAATGCAACTATAAATTCAGATTCTGTCTGCATAAAGATCAATAGCTTGTGCATTAAGTTATGATGTAGCTGATACTAGGAACTGCAGTAAAACAGAGGAAGGACTCTTGGTGTAGTTCTAAGCTTAAATCATTAAATGCTGCTTCCTCTTCGCAAAAGCAGTCTTAAACCATAAATTTATGGTTTCAACCAAGAGATTTTTACCTATGTTGCAAAGTGTAGTGCAAGCAAAACACATTCTGATGCTCAGATGTTATGCAGCTGTTGAAACGTTTTAATGACCTTTCTGCCATTTTTCTAATTTCAATAGTCTAATCAGAAAATCAATGCCCGTTGGACCACAGAAGAGCAGCTTCTTGCAGTACAAGGTATGTTAACAGCAGTAGTGGTTTGAAATCTGATGCAAAGGATTTGAAGAGGTACTCGGGCTTACGCTGGTATTTCCCTCTAATGAAAAGCTGAACTTTATCTGGTCTTACACGTCAGTCACTGGGAGAACAGCAACATTAGGGAGAATACTTAGGGCATTCATTCAAGCAACACAACGCGAGTCTTTCAGTTACCCATATGAAATCTTGAATAGAAAAGCTAAGCTGAGTTTAACAACTGTAGTAATACCAAAAACGTCCCTTCAATCATCTTCTAAATCACCTTACACTAATTGCTCTAAAGCGGAAGGCTGAAGTAATAGTTCAAGTAATAGAACATGAAGCAGACACTTAAGACATCTCTCTGTATTCTTAAAGCAGAAAAAAAGCAAACATAAAACTGCTTTACAGCTTAATTTTCTCTGTTCATGAGGGAATAAAGAAGCACATAACGTACCCAGTGGAGGCCTTTTAAGAGTCTGGAGCTGGATATGGATACTTGGCTAACAGTTGTACTGGAGAAAAAAAATGTTTCCTAGTAGGCTACTGAAACCACTAATTTGCAGTTATTTCATTTGTGTGAAGGAAAACTGACTCTTGCCTTGCTTTAACATGCTCTGCCTAACATGCAAGGGGGATATCTGGAGAGCTTAACACTGTCTTCCAAGACACTACACATTGACTCCTATGGATCATCTTTTTTAAGATCATATAATGAGCTCAGTTATACACATCTGCTTGCTTTCTCTGTATTTTATGCCTTTCAAATGGAAAGGCTGAATTTTAGTATAAAACCTTCGGCTGGATCAGGATATCAGTGTGAAGTTGTCAGGTGTACCGTAACTGGTAGTTATTGGCTGGATGACCGAACCTCAAGTTAGGTTAGTTTTGAGCTGCAAATGGAAATGCTGTGTCTGAAGCCAGTGTGCTTCAGACACAGCATGTTGGAGGCAGTCCTCTCAACATGCATGCCTCAAACTGGGATTTGCATCTCCAAACCGTTTTCTGTCCTAAGTTCATCCTCTCAGTACTGCCAAAAAGCTGTTGGTTGTTTTTCCTTTTGTCCCCCAGTGCAGCTGAAGGAGATGCCTGGTTTTAATAGGATAGTCTAGTAAGTAGAATGTTTGCTGGAGAAGTGGGAAAAGTCCAGGTTCGTTGTGCCTGCCTTAGCATGGAAGGATTGAAACCATCTTGCATTTTCGTAGTTTAGTTATTGGAGCTCTCACTAAACGTCCCTTTGAGAAGTGATAAGAGCGCATTTAGCCTTTGTTAAGCTACAGCACTACGCAACCCACAAGGCAGATTATAAAGCTGGCGCACGGACAGAAGAGAATGAGGGTTGGTGAGGACTACTTGGAGAGGAGTTTTAGTGGTCTGGTCTCTTTAGGGAGTGTTTTGTGTTCTATAGAGGTAGTCAGCCTCATTCCTTAAGGCTGGGGTGATCAGGCCTTCAGAAGAAACCTGCTTTCATTGAATTTACGTGTGCTTGTGTGTATTGCTTCCTTTTTAGTCCCCTTCCTTTGCCAGTATATAAAATGGAGATGGGCAAGAACCTTAACACCAGGAACAAAGTATTCAAAGTATTCCCACCCTTGCCTACTGCCTGGTAATGGTCTCCTTCCTGGAGTGGCAATGCTGTAGGTATTAACCTCCCGTCCCTCAGGCTGAGGACTCTGATCTCTTGCTTCAGAATAGATGCTTGAGCTAGCAGACTTCTGCATGAAGGAGCCACATTGCCTTTTGCCCTGCCTGTTTTCAGGAGCAAGTAGCCATGGTTGCTGTGCTAAAAGCTACAGTGATGCGCATTAGGCTTGAACTTGGAGGTTTACTTGAGCATTGGGACATTCAGTTTGTACATTCAAAACAGATTTATTTCATCAAAGTATTGATAAATTTTGGTGTGTGCTTTTAATAATTGTACAGAAATCATAAGTATTAAGCAGGTAGGTGGCATTTCTGTGATTTGTTCACTTGAAGCCAAGCGTGGAAATCATAGCAATGATTTGCAGTAATACAGTTTTGGTACTGTTTTTCCTGAATGTGAAAAACTCCTGTCATCTGTGGGCTGATCTCAAGAGACTGGCAGTAACCAAAGAGGAGGGAATGGAAAAACCCCCCTTAAAATAGAGCTGAGTGTCTAATCTTAAAAGCAGTGTGGCTGCCTGCAGTTGGGTTGTGGACTCAGACTTACGATGTCTGAGCTGATCTCCTGCAGTATAATTTATCAGTCACTGGTCAACTTTGCCCTAATAGTTATTGAATGTAACGGGCCAGTTCATCACTTGAGGTTTTCTTCAGTTACAAACTTAATTCACATATAGAAATGTATAAGCACAGTCTTTTCAAAGTAAGACCTCAGCCATATGAAAATTGCAATTGGAAAAATGTTTTAAGACTCAATGAAAACAACTGAATTTAAACAGAAGAGCACTGCAGAGGAAAACAGTTGGGACAACCAGGATCTAATTCTAACTGGTACAGGAGTTGCCAGGAGCACAGTAATCCCATCACAGTGAAACTGCATCTCTCGTAACCCAGAGGCTGCCTGTTTCTGCCTTGTTGCAGTGCAGTATTGTATTGCTTTGGACCCAGGCTGAGGCTTTCTGTGCCTCTCAGTGTTTGCTGTGCCGCACAACATTAAGAAGCGTAGACAGCTTGGATATATGAGTTTCTCCAAGGTAGGCACACAAGATGAAGCACTGGAATAGCGAGCGTGCACGTGATCAGCTACACCTTATGCACCTGGGTGAAGCTCTGAAGAGCTTGAATTATTCCCATGGTTAGGGCTACTTTCAAGTGAGCTGGGAGAAAGACATTCATACATGTGAAGCAAGGCTATACAGTTGTCTTGTTTTGAGCTTCACTTTCAGCAACCTAATAAAATTATTCTTGTGGAGAACAGATTAAGCACCTTAGAAGTACCTCTGCATGGTGCTTAGCACACAATTTATATAAGGATATTTAAGTAACGTGCACCCATTTGAAAGGGATGATGGCTTGGCATCAACTCTTACACATATGCCAGCACCTTATGCATCAAACTTTCATAAACATGTATGGAACTGTCTCTGTTCCTGATGCAGCTTAAAAGGATTTTGCTCCATCACTGTGGTGGTGTAGTCACTGGTGATGCTAGAGCAGTACTAAATAGCGCTTGAAAAAGAATCCAAAGTGAGTAGTGCTGTGTGTGTAGCTAAACCAAGGAAATGTTATTTTCTTTAACTATTTCTCATAGCTGGGCTCTCAGTGAAGGCAGGATACACTGTTCTCAAGCTGTTTGCTTGGGAATAGGCTTCGAGACCTTGTTTTTGACAACTTTAGTTGAAGTTAGCAAACAGGCTCAGTCGTTTTGCAGTTTAGGGGGAAGGAAGAAGTATAGACAGCATAGTAACAAAGTGCTGAAAACACCTAAAATCTGAAGGAGGTTTCAAACAAAACTATTTTGTTTTGCTGGGTGCTTTGTTCACTTGGTAAATTGTACAGGATGTTAGATACCTCTCAGGTGCAATTTACTGAGCGAGTTAGTAAGGGTGGTAATGGTATGAAGAATATTCAAACACTGGAGGGAGTGCTCTGTGGGCGCTCACAGCTTTTGAGGAGTATAGCTCATACCTTGTACAACTGATAAAGCACAGAGCCAAATCCCTGTCTGCTTTGCCCAGATGCGTGCCCTCCCACATGGCTCTGCTAGGTCCCTTTGTTTTCTTTCCAAGGTTCTTGCAGTCAGGATGGTTGGATTCTTTTGTATGCCCCAGAAACGATCTTACATGTAGCTGGGCTCCGGGCAGCTGAAACAGCAGCTTCAGCTACAGGAATTGTTCCCATCCTGGAGCTCAACTTTTCCCTTAAATTGCAGTGAGTGTACATTACCACATGAGAAGTGCCTGTTAATGAAGAAAGTAGCAAAGAGCAGAAGCAGCACAATGAAGTTGGAAAGGAACATGGCTTTCAGATTCCACGCAACTCTCACTTTCTGAATCCTTTGCTTCACTTTCTGAAGTGAGGCATGAAATCAGGCATGAATTTCTTTTCCTGTAATGAGGCAGAGTGCCCATCCTCTGGGCGCTGTAATATGAATGAGCTTAGTTATCAAGAGCTTTCACAGAACAAGTCAAATTGTCACTCATGCATAGCTGAGAGCAGAAAATGAGGCTTCTGTTTACTCAATCTGGGATTTCCTTTATTGGTCCCCAAATTTCTGGATGCTTGTGATTAAAATTATACTTTGTGCAGCTAAAAGCTGTGTTCTGGGATGGTGCAGAGTTTGAGGGCTTTTTTTCTTAAGCAGGAAGAGGAGGATCTAGATACATACCCTAAATACAACTGAGAAAATCAGTAAACTTTGTCACAATTCCAACTTTAGGTTAAAAACAGTGGAATGTGGTACTTGAGGGGGGGTTGTGTGTTACGGGCAAATGTAGTTTTAGAACTTTGTATGTTGTGATTTTTTTCTTGTGAACAAAAGTGACCTACTGATGTCAATATGGAAATGAAGTAAGAATGATGTAAAGATCTTTGTCCTGGAGGCTTGTGCTGGGCTGTCTTATAAATACACATCAATAGCTTATATATTTACTTATATTCCCCAAGGTGGTTGTCCCAAAAGCCCCGGGTCTTCTCCCAGCTCAGATGGTGAATGAAAGCTTTACAGAGCCTTTGCCAGGTGAATGCTTGCCAGTTGCTCTTCGTAGCCTCAGCAGAGCATGTCACAAGTTGGGGAATGAGCAGTATATCGTGACTTATGGAACTGTACCCCCTGTGCTTGCTCCAGTAGCTGCTGCCCTCTAGCACTCCTGCTGCACAGACTGTGGGCAAAGAAACGTCTGTGTGCAGCTGGCATTGAGGGAACCTGTAAAAGCTGTTGGTATTTGTCCCTTGACGTTTCTAGTGTTACACCCCGTACACAGCAATGCATACGTGCTCAGTCACCCTCCCTCTCCATCTTGAACTTGTCTTGGGCTTCTGCCCTCACTGCAAGCATACCAAAGGATATACTTTGTTTGTCAGAGGCCAGATCTCTGTGGCTTCAGGTTGGGAGGCTTGGTGAGTAAGCCAGGATCCTTGAGTAGAGTGGGTAATAATGTTTTAATAAAGCTCTTGATTTATATGTTGATAGCTGTGCAATTAAAACTTACTTTGTTTTTATGGAAATTGAGGCCTTCTCCTAATTGAGAAGTCCTCCTAATTAGCGAGTCCTTGGTTTGCAGGTCCCATAGGTTCTCTCTATAAATACATCACACGTAGCTGTGTCTGACTGATTCTTCACAGCTATGTTATTTACTTTGCCTTCCAGGTGTCCGAAAATATGGTAAAGATTTTCAAGCTATTGCAGATGTAATTGGCAACAAGACTGTTGGCCAAGTGAAGAACTTCTTTGTAAACTACAGGCGTCGGTTTAACTTAGAGGAGGTATTGCAGGAATGGGAAGCGGAACAAGGAACCCTGGCTTCTAATGGTGATGCTTCTGCTTTAGGGGAGGACACAAAAAATACTTCTAATGTGCCATCAGGAAAGAGCACTGATGAAGAAGATGAGGTGTGTTTTGTGTACCAGAAATAAGTAAGCATGGGTTGAGGAACAGCATTTATTTTAGTGATATAATGTAAGGTTAACTGGTGTGGAGTGGCAAACCGCATTCTAAAGAATGATGATGAGCTTGCATAGAACTTCAGCCAATGTCGTTAACCAGCTGGGAGCAGGACTGCACCTTGCATAGTGACGATCACGTTACTGTTTTACTGTTAAAATACACTTCTTGTTCTAGAAGAAGACTCTTGCTTCGTAATTATTTTTAGTTCTGCTGTCGATAATGTTTTGGTTGGTGATTTCTTTTCAGTAACTTCTCAGTTTTTTGGTTTTGTTTCTTTTAAATGCTGTTTCCTGTGTAGTGGACAGTGGCAGCCCAACTGCATCGCGTTCTGGCCGGGATGGCAGTTCACGTAGTCTTGTCTTTGTCCTTTGTGCAGGCACAAAGCACTCCGGCCACTCAGTGTTTAGGCCCTTCACCTCCAGCACAGGCATCTGCTCCAGCACCTACCGCTCCCATGGCAACTTTAAATCAGCCTCCCCCGTTACTTCGTCCGGCGCTTCCTGCTGCTCCTGCCCTCCACCGGCAGCCTCCGCCGCTCCAACAGCAGGCACGGTTCATCCAGCCCAGGCCGACCCTAAACCAGCCTCCCCCTCCGCTCATCCGCCCAGCTAACTCCATGCCTCCCCGTCTAAACCCACGGCCCGTGTTAAGCACGGTTAGCGGGCAGCAGCCACCCTCGCTTATTGGAATTCAGACAGAATCTCAGTCCACTCTGCACTGAAGAAATAAAGCAGAATTCTGCTAACTCCTGCATTTGGAAAATCGGATCGGTGTACTTTTTCTTTTCTTTGGTTTTTTCCTGTTTCCAAACAATGAAGGGGAGAAAAGAGCAAGCCTTCACAGCTACCTGACCAGTCCTACAGAGGAGCAAGCTAATACCTACACGGGAATGAGCACCCGTATAAAAGTATTTTTATGTCAGACTTGTACAGCAGAACAATGCCTCCAATACAGCCCTCCTCTCTATGAATACCTGTTGAAGGAAGCTGACTTCTTCAGTGAATAAATGTTCAACACACCAAGATTTTGTTTAACTGATTTTTACGCTATTTATTTTATTACAGGTCTTTGTAGTCGAGCATCTAACTACAGGAAAGTAGCCTGGCAAATCTAGGGATAGATAATCTTGTAGGAGACTTAAATGTAGCTTTGGGGGGTTTGTGTGTGTGTGTGTGTGTGTGTGTGTGAATTTCTTGGTTTCGTTCTTTTTACCTTTTAGTGCAAAAACAAGAACGGCCTTAGGTTCTGAAGTTTTGGCCCTGTTTAGATAACAGTAGAAGCATTTTGCGCACCTGGATAACGTAGATGTTTCTTCTCTTTGTGCTTTTCCCAGAACACTTTTCCTTGTTTAAAAAAGGTACTGTCTTGTTAAACACTCCTCTGAAAGAGTATTCTGAAGCCTCAGTGAGCTATTGTACCAAACTTGCTAAACCTCACACGTGTTCTACTCATGGAAGTTAACTGAAAGCAGGAATCCAGGTTCCTGCTGCAGCATCTCCCGTGGGCTGGGGTGGAGAGAGAGGCAGCAGCTTCCACCCCCTAGGGGGGTGACAGGAGAGGAGCCATATAACAAGAACCGTTAATTTAATTTATTCCACTAATTCTGCTAATTTAAGTACAGTAGAGTTTAACTCATCCGAGAATGGCTGCCTGCGGTTCGTGTATGCTAGATCATTGCTGCCTGCCGAAGCATTCGTGAGGGAAGCAGGGAGGCTGGTGGTGGTAGCTGAATATTGCGGCGGCAGCTACCTGCTGCCAGCCCACTCTCGCTGTTAAATCATGCTCTGATTTCTGCTGCTTCTGGCAGAGCTGATTAGTCAGGTTGAAATTAGTGTGGGGTTCTTTGCTTTGTGTTACTGACCAAGTAAAACCTGCATTTGGGTATTAGTGCTTCCAAATTTTAGGAGATTGAAAGGTTTTCTTCCCACCGCATTCTTGTCTGAAACCTTGAGTTATGCCCAGCGGTGTTTTGGGAGTGGGGTTTTTCAGTTCTTTGTTCAGTCTGTTTTTTCTTGTAAGTAGATGCCTCTGCCCTCCAAGTAAACCAGGCTGCAGATCTTGAGTTTGTAAACTGTGTGATCTGAACCAAGCTACTGAAAAGCATCTCATTCTGGAGTATGTAATAACATTCATGTTGACCGCCCTACTGTTTGCAAAATTAGTTCTGCTTATAGCTGAAATGGTGTTTGAAAATCCTTTTAAATCCATTCTGTTATTAACTAGATTTGCCTTGACTGAAATGAGACTTTATTTGAAAGTGGAATGTGCTCTCCCTAGGCTTTTTCACAGATAAATTGGATCGTTTAATGATGAGTTTAGTGGCCGGCTGAGGTCTTTTTTTATGTGTGAAGGGAAGTTCTTACAGCGTCAGATGCTATTCCATTTGTAAATTGAGTATTAAGGTTTGATAGCTGTCCCTGAATTGCAGTGAAGGTATTGACCTTTATAGTTCAGCTCTTCATTTGAAAATGTTTTCAGATGAAACTGGAGAGTTTTTTCTTTCTGAACAGCTTTCCCTGCTGTGCTGAGGTCTCGTACAAAAGGTCCTTAGACGTTTTCTTTTGCATCAGAGTAGAAGCTTAGCCACTACGTGAGCATCAGATGGCCAAGAGAAGCAGCACTGTACAACAAGCACTGAGGAATTCAGGGTCACTGCAGCTTGTGTTCTGGGAGTCATAAGTGTCTCCTTGTTAGCTACACAAAGCTGGCTGCTCTTCACAACCAGTCTGCTTCGTTTCGCCATCCTTAGTATCTCAGTTTAACTGTTAAGAGTGATAAGATACATCGTCAAGTTTTCTTCTCTTATTTTGTCTGCCTTTCTTTTTAGCATTGAGTCTCCCAGGTGTGTGTCTTGTACCTTTGCTGATTTTTGTCTCGTCTCGTCGATAGACTTCAGTATGCAGAACGTTGGGTGTTGCAGGAGCAGTTGGCCACCACCAGCTGCTCCAGAACTGTTCAGTACCTTGTGATTCCGTTTAATCTTGTTTAACTATTCGATGACTGGGCAAAGGTGCTGTATTTGACGGGGGGAGGGAGGGTCAGAGATAGGTAGTATTTCTTAATTTCCATACACTGTAGCACACAGTAGGGAACTCCTAGCATTTGTAGTACCAAGTAAGTATGTACATAGCAAAATGTCTTTATTGTGTGCTTTGCAGAATATGTGCATACAGTTTGCACGTCCTGTTTTTTTTTGGGGGGGGGGGGGGTAGGTTTGTTTTAAGCAGTGTCTGCCTGGAGAGTGATATGCTTGCTGCTTAATCAAAGGATTAAAGTTTCAAAGAAATCTGTGTCTTCTATTTTTATGTACCTTGTAATGGTCTAATATGTTAGGGCCCTTATACTGTGATTCTCTTCTAAATTCATTTCTATTTTTTTAAGAATTAGAAATAAAATTATACAATGGTGTTGATTTCAGTGGGGCATTTCTTTTGCCATCTCCAGTCGCCTGTTTTGTAATGTAGTAATGAACTCTTGACTTCAAGGTTGGCTTAATTTTGTCACTTTAAAAGAAAAATAATGTACAATGTTTGCACACTAAAGTTTGGCCGAGAACGTGTACCCTACATTGTTCAAAGCTAATGTAACTCTACAGCTTTTTGTACAGTTTATTTTAGTTAATAAAGCAAAACGGTACTAAAGAAAATGCCAGATCTTACAAACGCCAAGGCATAATCTGAATGACGTCTTCTAGGACCAACACTTGCACCAGATGGATGTACAAGAACTATCAGCTTGAGAAGTTGCCCTTTAAATCAGAATGGGTATGAAGTTTAAGGAAGTATTTCTGCGTTAATAAAACATCACACGTTGTAGTAAAGCAGCTTAACTTAGTTTACCGTTGATGGTGAGCAGAAAGAACTACAGTTCCCTCTGTCCTTAGTTCATCTTTTATACTGTTGGGATTTATTCTGGAAGCTGCACAGAAAACAGAACCCAAACCAGCAGCTTACAGACGTGGGAGTTTGTGTATGAATAGGACAGAGCTGCAGCCGTGAGGATGAAGGTTCAAACAGCTATGCTGTGCCTCTTACTAGCACCAGGAAGGAGGAGGCTGCAAGTTGCAGCTGATGCTAGGCAGAAGCATGGAGAAAAGCAAAGCCAGGGTGTCAGGGCAAGGACAAACAGCTTGGAGGTGTTGGTTCAGAGGTGTGTTTCCAAATGCAAAGGAAACTCTAGAGGAGTGAGCTCTGTCGCGGCTCCAGTGCAAAACCATGCACTGGGACCTGCACCGAGTACAGCTTGCTGGTGTTAATGCGAGTGGTGAACCTCCAGCTTTTCCTGAGCTGGAAATAGCTGAACCTCAGCGCCTGCCTTTCTCTGAGCAAGCTGAAAGCAGGCACCCTTGCGATAGGCATCTGCTTTAAGGTCACAGGAAGTTGTGTGTGAGACGCACAAGGCAAGTACAAACTCTAACACCACTTGCAGTCTGTTACTGACAAATTTGGCACCAAAAAGCTATAGGCAGGCAGGGAGGGAGGAGAGGCGAAACACACAGGCAACAGCATCTGCACTGTAAGCACATTGCTAAATTTTGTGACAGACATGCTTAAAACTGACACTGAAGCACAGACGCACACACACACTGCTTCATTTTCAGCACTAGTGAAGGCTGCTGCTTTGCAATTCCCAGTTATTCTTTAAAGTGTTCTCCGCATAGTTTTGTGCACTGAAATAATCATATAAATCCACATTGTTATTGACTTGGAAGCTTGCCCTTGGACTGGCACAAAAGGGAGCACAGGGGTTCAGGGATGGTGATCCCTGCTGCTGCTTCCCCAGGGACGGGACTTTGTCAGGATGCAAACCAGGGCTCCTGTTGTGCTCACTGGATCTTAATAAAACACTGATTTTTAAAGGTCATGCCTGCACCCCGATATGCGATGATCCTTTTGGCAGCTCTTTGTCATCACTAAGCTCCATCCTGGGGAATGCTGATGTTCTGCAGGAGGATCATGAGTGCAGCAACTTGGGAACCAGATCCCATCTCCAAACTATTCATTTACACTTATAAATATTTACTTAGGGAAACCATGCTGTCCTGATGGATGTTCTTGCGAGCTTCCTGACCAGGTAGTACCCAGGCTAGCCAGGAGATTCCTAAAAGCTTTGCAGGAGGGAGTGTTCTGAAAGCTCTTTGTTGCTGGAGCAGCCTTTACACCTTTGCTGGACTCCCTGAATCAACGGAGGGTATGGTCTGACACCCTTGGCAGTGGCAGGTCTGAGTCAGGTTAGCAAAAGCATCATCTTTCTGAAACCGTTCTATTACTCTTAGTACTTAAGACAGCCCAGGTAACGCAGCCCCATTGTTTCTTTTTCATCTGCCTCAGGGCTTTTCGTGCAGGCTGTTTTCCTTACAGCCTGGTTTTCCTAGAAGGAGTTTAACGTGGAAGACGCGACAAGGCGCAGCGGCAGCTGATGGGCAGCTGATGAGCAGCGAAAACCGCATCGTGCAGTTTGTTGGCTGCAGGATGGCTGCGTTGGCAAACACCCCTTCGGCACGCCTTTGGTTAGCGGTAACACCGCTGTGCGGTCACAGCCGCTGTGTTTAGCAGGGGTCCGTTCGCTGTTTCAGTGCCGTCGGTGTGAACGGCAATAGGACAGTGCCTGCACCGGCCGGGCGGGGGGAGCCCCTCGCCACGGACCCCTCCCGGCTCCCCAGCCGCGGGCGGGGGGGGGCTTTCACCCTCCTGCAGCGCCCTGCGGTGAAACCGCCGCTTCCCCCGGGCTGCCGTGAGACCGAGCGCGGCTCCCGGCGGCGGCACCACCGGGGGGCGGCGGCTCCAGCGCTGCCTCCGCCGCGTCCCCTCCCCTCCGCTGCCGCCGCGCACGGAGCCGCGCCCCGCGCAGGCAGGGCCGGCCCCGCACCGCCCGCGGGCAGCGAGCGCCGGTGCAGGTGCGGCGGGGAGCGGCGCGGCCGCGGTGCGCGGGGTCCCTGCTGCCCGCTCCGCAAGCGCGGGTAAAGGAGGAGCCTGAACTTGGTGCCCGCCGGAGCTCAGCGCGGTCCGGAGCGGTGCCCGTGCCCCGCGTGCTCCGGTGCGCGCTGGCCGCGGAAGCCCCTCTCCCCTCGCAGGACCCCGCACCGAAGCCGCGGGGAAAGGTAGGCCCGGAGCGCGCCTCGGAGGCGGCCGGGGCTGGGGTTTTGGGGGCTGAGAAGGGAACAAAGAAGCGGGGAGTGCTCGGGTGAACGCCTCTGCAGCGGCTCGGACCGCTCTGAATGAATGGCAGGGAACCGGGACAAGTACCCCGACCGTGCCAGCCGGAGTCCGCTGCCTGGGGGCGAGGGAATTTCCCCTCTGTGCGTGTGTGCGTGCAGGGAGACCCAGCCAGCCCCTGGCTCTCCCGGATTAGCAGCGCTCCGGGCGCACGCTGAGGCTTTGACCACTTTCTACACCCTTCAGGTTTAGAAGGGAAAATGTGGAGCTCCCGTTGTTGCACTTCTTGAGCCCCTTCACCTTTTGTTCGCTTGGCTGCACCTTCCCAGTGCCAGCCAAGAACAACTTTCCTCGTAACTTCCGTTTTCTAGCTATGGGATGGCTGAAAGGAGTGCGGCACAGTGCTAAACCAGCCGGGTGTATTCAGGTCAGGCGCGGCTCAGGCTGGCAGCGGTAACACGGTTGTATTTTTAAACCAGCTGATTCTACCCAGAGCACGTAGGCTGTGGGACTGAGGAGCTCTGGGATGCTCTTGTGCAGGAGCACTGGCCTGGCCATGCTGCGCTTCATCTTGTTTCATCTGCGCTGTTGGTTTTGATCCTAGGGTGAGCCGTGGTGGTCGTGGGCTCCGCTTGGCTTAAAACCACCCAGGGGCATTTCCTTTGCTGGATGAGCAGTTTACGGTTCATGCTGGGAGGGAGGGATGCGCCGGCGTGCAAGAGCCAATCGCGACCCTGTGCATCAATCAGTGTGGTGGGCAGAAGCCAGCTGTTCCCAGCTGCGTGGCAAAGGAGGTTTACAGGACCTGAAGCAGAAGCTAAAACCCTTCAACACACTGTCCTCGCAGTAAGCACGTGCTCAAATACGTAACAAGGAGGTGGTGGAGCCTGGTGTCACCGTGTGGCCAGAGGTGAAACCAGGGATGAAGCCCTTCTACATCATTGCAGGGAATCCGGGGCAAGAGGAGGGAGCCTAGAATAGGCTTTGAAAGTGAGAGGCTTTGGTGCAGTGGGGAAGTGGAGGGATGGCCAGAAAGGTGATGTGGCTTAGAAATCGATCCCTGTGGCAGCACCCTGGGTGGATAAACTGGCAAAAGATTCCAAGAGAAATGAGTGTTTGGAAAACCCGAGGAGGACGATGGTGGACAAGAGGTTTATTTGTGTAAGCAGACAAGCAATACCATATCATATAGGGATACAAAGCAGGAGAACTTGGTGAGACATAGTGATGATTAATGCTTCAAGCCCAAGAGAGAAACGAAGGTCACAGACCTAAGTAGAATACAGGCTGGCTGTGTGGGCTTTGGAAGCTGCAGGGCTGTGCAGAAGAAGGCCTGTTGGGCAGTGGGCTGCTTCTGAGCTGGTTATCAACCACAGCCAGGATATGGGAGGAGAGGCCGAGTTCGGCCTCTGCATGCTCTGCAGCAACACAGCACACCTACGGGCAGGAAACTTGGGCTGAAGAGGTGTAAGCTGCTAAAAGACATGATTCAGAGTGAGAAAGGAAGGAAGGAAAGCTTGTGGTGCTCACAGAACCTGTGGATGGCACAGGAGTCACTGCGGAGTGTAGAGGATAAGGAATGACATGCAGGAGGGGAGATGCTGAAGCCAGAAAGCTGCTGTTGGAGACTTTGACAAAAGGAATTCCAAATCAGTGCAAAGAGCAGAAGACAACCAGCTCTTTATTTCACCCCACAGGCTCCTCATCAGTCTTTATGCAGTTTTATGCAGCTGTCAAAGCTCTGCAGGAGCTCTTCTTTCCGTGCCACACGTTGCTTGGATCACTTTGCCAAACCCCTTCTGTGGGCAGCTGCAGACCTGTAGGGTGCTTGATCACCTGGGCTTTATCTGTGTCTCATCTCTAAGCTAAGCTATAGCCGTCTCTCTTCTTCAACTCCTTGTCCGACCTTTGATTTTAGATAAGGAGATGTTATTTATCACCAATATATAGCTGCCTATGGAGAGGCATTCCTCTCTCTGGCCCTGGAAGGGGTCTGCATGAGGCTCCCTGAGGCAGTTGGTGGTGGCTGCAGTGGTGCAGGCAGGTTCCTTCCCCTTGCAGATGTGTGTTCTCAGCAGCAGTCAGTGGCCTGCCCGGAGCAGCACCCCTCTGAACCGGGCCCTGAGTTGTGGTGAGGATTTCAGCATCTCTTCCTTTGCTTTCTGGTCCTTTTCTGTGCGAGTCCCTTGGTGAATGACTGTGAAGAGTCAATATTCACACTCTTGGCTGTCAGTCCCTTCTCTGTACCACTTTGGGCTGCAGTGTGTGGTTGTTCCATCCTCTTTCCTCAGCCAAGGACAGAAACGCTCCCCCACAGTGGATGACTGGGCTCGGGAAGGTGAGGAAACCTGAGTCATGTGTGTTGGTAATGCAAGTGTTAATGAAATGTCTATGGCCTCCTCAGCTCCGCCATGCAACAAACAAACAAGTGTGTGAGAAACCGCACACCCTAAGCCGCTGTGGGTTTGCTATGGGACTGCTCAGAGTGCTCTGTAGTCAAGTATGATTGTCTCTGCTGGGGGGAGTGATAAAGCAAGGTTTTGTGTGTAATACACTGACATTTGCATACAGGGATGCTCTAAGGGTAAGTACATTGCTGTGTGCTTATTTTGCAGAGGATAATATTGAAATCTTAAAGTTATTTGTTAGTAGTAGCATTATTACACAGAGGCACCCAGGGACTGACCAAAGCTCAAGGAAAGGAACAATTTGCAAAGCAGTTTTTCCCTAAGTAGTCACTGAGAGATGCAATGATCAGAGCTGTGTGAAGTCATGTGGTTTTCAGTCTTGTCTGCTACATGCATGTGCTTGAAACTGGAATGTGGCCCTTGCTATGAAAGAAACAGAAGTCAAGGACTTCTTAATATTGTCCTAGAAACAGCAGGTATAACAGCTGCCAGATCATATATTTGGTGAAAGATAGACTCATCATGGAATGGTTTGGGATGGAAAGGACCTTAAAGCTCACCCAGTTCCAGCCTCCTGCCATGGGCAGGGACACCTTCCACTAGAGCAGCTTGCTCCAAGCCCCTGTGTCCAACCTGGCCTTGAACACTGCCAGGGATGGGGCAGCCACAGCTTCTCTGGGCACCCTGTGCCAGCACCTCAGCACCTTCAGAATAAAGGATTATCTTCCCAATACACAACCTGAATCTCCCCTCTGTCAGGTTAAAGCCATTCCTCCCTGTCCTGTCCCTACAGGCCTTTGTAAAAGTCCCTCTCCAGGTTTCCTGCAGGCCCCTTTTAGGTATTGGAAGGCTACTGGGCACTATACAAAGAAAAAACCCCTTGTCCATTGGTCTGTCTCACTGTCATTGACATTAAACCTCGTGTCATGGCAGTTTTTCAATGAGGAATTATGAATATGCACCTTGGTGAGATGCACCTTGAGGTTACTAAAACCAGTGACGTTGTTCACTGATGGGAGCAATAAAGCTCAAACTGGTGCCAAAAGCAAGAGCACGGTTGGATGCTTAAGGTTGACATGAGTAATCACCTTCCCAGTGAGTACCATGAGTAGGAAAATGTGTGTCTGTATGTCGTCAAATACATGTGTGCATTAGAGCAAAACCCACTGCACTCATGAATTCCTGCGGCTGCAGTGGGGGGGAATGGTTTACCCCTGGAACAAGGGAACACATCAGAAGAAGAGGGTGGCCAGCCTTAGCAAGATTTGAGTTCATCTTAGTAATCAGGATGAATAACCACTGAGTCGAGTCATAGGCTTCTCTATACATGCAGATTAAGTTCTTCATTAAGACTAAGTCAAAGGGCCAGGGGTGGAAAATTAAAACCAAGACTCTGTTATGCCTTGAGTGTTCATGGCCAAACCAACTTGAATGGTCAAAGCAACTGTGGTCCTGGATAGCGTATCCCCTTGGGGCAGGGAAGGAGACGTGAACTGAAGAGCCCCAAAGACCTCATTCTGCAAAATATGCAATGGCCCATTACTTGTTAGGACGAGAGAGGGCTTCACTTTGGCTCCAAGACACTAGAAGGAAACCCCGTTAGTTCTCTTGCTATCTGTCCCTTAATGTTTCCTCCTTTCAGTAACTTCTTTATGTTGCACTTGTGTCTCTCCCTTCATCCTGTTTCCTAAACGCTGCTACTCTCTTTTCACTCATCTTCATTCCTTGAGCCGGCTCGAAACTTGCTCGAGGTTTCAGCACTGCAGCTGGCGCTGGAGGAGATCAAGGGCTGCCCACGAACAACGACACCAGCCTATTGCTCTCCGCTCACCTTCAGAGTGAGATCGTTGAACGTTCAGATCCTGCTCAACTTCTCCATTTGGGGTTTTCCCCAAAGCTTCCCAGAAGCAGATGGTGCTTCCTGGAGCTGTGCTCACAGAGCACGATGCTTTCGGCAGCGCTGCCTCCTCCCAACGAAACCACTCGGATCCATCCTTCCTCCTGAGCTGCCAGGGTCAAGGAGAACCCACGTACAAGCTGGTGTGCTGTGGTGATGTCAGCCTGGGCAGGGGTTGTGCACAGTCACCAGCTTGAGCAGGGTGCACCCTGAGGATGTGCATGAAAGATTATCTTCTGGTTTAAAACACCTGAGTATAGAAGTGAGCTTGGGTTGCATTTAGGAACACAAACTGGATCCATTTCATTGATACCATAAAGAAGGAGGATGCCTTTCCCTTTGCCACTGGCTTCAGCAATGACTTCTCTGTGCCCGAGCTTTAGGGAAGGTTCAGGAAAACACACAGTAGGTTGGGATGCCTCCTGGGAGGGGAGGTGGGAATTGAAATACGTTAGAAATGCACTGGGAGCAAGCTCAGTTAGAGGGCAAGGCGCCAGAAAGGGTATGTGTTACCTTTACTACAAGGCAGAATAGAAGCTTTCTGTGGAAAAGTAATATTATAAATAAGAGGAGATTTAGAAATCGCTGCTTTTATAGAAAATCAGATCCCATACTTTAGGGGAGGGGAGTCACAAATAAGTGGGGATGGAGCCCATGGCACTGCAGTGAGGGCAGCACACTTTGGTCTGGGGAAGGAAGCTGGCACACAGTCAGTCAGTGCTGATGAAGGCTGCCAGGGATCCTGTGTGCACAGTGAAGTTCAGGCTCCACAACCACCAGGGTTTGTGGCCACTGAAATTATTACAAACCTAAAGAGAAGCATCGTTTTCTTTAGGTGTGTTTTCTGTCAGTCAGAGAGTTCTGGTTTAGACGTGAAATGTCCCTGCAGCCCCATAGCACGAGGCACCGTTTGCCAGTGCCCTTTCCCCTGTGAGCTGTCCCTTTGCTTCCTGCAACCAAGGGGTCCACAACGGGCTCACAGTGGAGGGTTTCACAGGGCCGGGCCTGGGTTTTCCTTACATCCTCATGTGTTTCCTGCTCCCTGTGGCTTCTTTCCTTTGGGCACATTCCTCACCCCTTTTGTGAAAGGTGAAAACTCCTTTGTATCCCAGATAAAAGACGGTGAGAGAAGTTCTTGGTTCTCTTGTGTTGCTCCGGATGGCAAAATCTGTAGCCCCTGCATCAATGCAGTGGGGAAAAATACTTTCCAATGGCTTTCCTTCTATCCTAACGCTTTTCAAACACTTTCAGACGTGATCTTTTCAAAGCTACGCCGGGGATTTCCACTCCCTCGCTGGTTTCAAGTGCTCGTGCTGTTGTTTTAACCACAGAGCTCATGCAGGCGCCGCTCTCTCAGCTCGCTCTCACACTGTCTCCCCATTGAGCACCAGCGACAGTTCTCAGGTACGGCTTTACCAAAACCTCTCTTGTTAAGGCTGGCAGGAGCCTGACGTTGCTGGGATGGTTCCTTCTCTCTGCAGGGCTCTTCAGGGGTGAGCTGCGGCACAAGGGGCTGCACGGGGGAAGCTGCAGACCCTGGAACATCGCAGGGACAGAGTTCACCCCCTGAAGCAGCAAAGCGGTGCCGGGGTGTCACAGGGATGAGTGGTGGTGCCAGAATCCCTATTGGTGCTTGGGAATGTGGTGAAACACCCAGGTATCGCTAGAGAAGTTACGGGAACAAAGTTACCCTCAAGCTGTGAAGGAGATCATTTTAGGGCAGGAGTTGTCCATGTTCCCATAACAATATTGGGTTGATTTGGTGTAGAGAGATTTCTTGATACTGAAAAACTCATTAATTCATGATCAGGACGTGCAGGGGAAAGAGCACATATAGAAGATACGCCTGTAAAATCAAAGGTACCTCAGGACCAGGCACACTTCATCAGTTGTTAGAGTGTGTTTTTAAAACTGCTGTAAGATGCTATCTGTGTTATAATCTATGCCTTGAAAAAACAATGCATCTCAAAGGGGATTTATTGCGATGCTTGACTGGAACTCTACGCAACGAAACCCCACTGTCTTACTCTGCTTACTGAAAATTTGCCTATGGAGATTAGCAAACTGATGCTTGCTTAGCAAGGTTTTACTGTGCTTTGAGAATAAGGTAATACCAGAGTTTGAATTTGATAATATTTTCTATATACAAAAGAAAACACATTTGTTCTGCTGCCCTTTGCAGCAACATCCCCTGTGGGGCACCAGGAACGTATCCAAGAGGAAATTATTGCTGTTAGAAATGTTCTCTCCTGGGTATCAGCTGGTCACTGCACCGTGGCTTATAAGTGAGGTTTATAAGGGACAAAAATGATTCCTTTCCGATATCGTTTGTCATCACCTGCTGTTTTCCATGTAGGCTGCTCTGTTTTAAATAGGTATTTCTAAGCATACAGATGTTTTTAGACATTCCTTAGCAGGCTTTGTTACCTGTTCTGCTCCGTATGTTAGGAGCTGGGGCATATCTTTCTTATTCCCAAAACACGAGTGTGTTTGTGCAGATCCTTATGTTAGTAGTAAACCATAGAACTTTGTTGTTTTGAGTTAGAAATACCAGAGGCAGCTAATCTCCCCCATTTATAAGGCAGCTTGGAGAGGGTCATTTTAATGCAAGGCATGTTCCCCTTCACCCTGTCTCTGCCTCTCACCTCCCAGTGAAGTGACTTGATCTCAGCCCTTTCAAATTCACAGAACCTTCCCTGCCATGGCAGTTCTGATGTACTCTAAAAGGCAGATTATTTCCAGAGGGAAGGACAGGGCATCTTCAAAGTCTTGTCCCTAACAAGTGCCTTAGGGCACAGCAATAGAGCAGAACTAGAGCTAGGAGTATAGGGACATAGGTGTGTCAAGGTGTCATGGAAGATGCTAAGTAAGGAAGGGATCATGGTGCTTGTTACTGAGCAACACCCAATCCTGGACGGTAGCTGAGCTTTACCCTCCCCTCACACAGTGAACCTGGCAGAGCTGTGTTCCCTGCGTGTTTGCTGGGCAGCAAGACCAAGGACCCTGTCTTTTTGTCCATATGTGACAACCAAACCTGTGATAACAACTCATATTTGCCCTTCTCAGTCTGAAAGATGGGGTAGCACTCAGTGCCTCGGGTCTGCTGTCCTGGAGGTGCTGCAGCCTCCTGTAGTGGTGCCCTCATAGCTCAGGGGTAATGTGTGGACCTTTCCAGGGGCCTGGCTGCACGTGAGAGAAAACAGGAAAAACATACTCTCTTTAAAGAGAGCGATTACATTATCACATTACACTACACACACAGGGATGGTTTTCCCTGTGTGCAGCCTGTTTCCGTGGCTAAAAGAACGTAATCTGTCCACCATACTTGAACGTGGTGTCAGCACTGCACACCACTCTCGCCTTTCTGACTGCTGGTGGCATGGACAGGCAGCAGCACTGCTGGAGGGGACCTCTCTGAACACAGCTTTTCGAATACTAATGTGATTTTATCTTATAAAAGTTTATAATATGAATATATAAATATATTTTTATATTACATTATTATAGCAAGCCGTGCCCATGCTGATTTTTCTCCTTATTATCCTGTTCTGCTAGTGCCTTGCTCAGTTCCTGAGCAGTGAGATGTGCTAAGTGTGGAGCACGTTCTTGGTGTGTTGTTTGGTGTGGGGGCAGTTAAAGCAGCACAGCCAACATAGAAGCACAGACTCATAGAATAGTTAGGGTTGGAAAGGACCTTAAGATCATCCAACCCCCCTACTGTGGGCAGGCACACCTCACACTAAACCATGTCCCCCAACGCTCTGTCCAACCTGGACTTGAACAATGCCAGAGATGGAGCATTCGTAACCTCCCTGGGCAATCTATTCCAGTGCCTCAACACCCTCACAGGAAAGAACTTCCTCCTTATATCCAATCTAAACTTCCCCTCTTTCAGTTTGAACCTGTTACCCTCTGTCCTATCGCTGCAGTCCCTGATGAAGAGTCCCTCTCCAGCATCCCTGTAGCCCCCTTCAGACACTGGAAGCTGCCCTGAGGTCTCTACGCAGCTTCTCTTCTCCAGGCTGAACAGCCCCAACTTTCTCAGCCCATCTTCATACAGGAGGTGCTCCAGCCCCTGATCATCCTCGTGGCCTCCTCTGGACTTGTTCCAACAGTTCCGTGTCCTTCTTATGTTGAGGACACCAGAACCGTACACAATATTTCTTGTTATGACAATTCGCCCCCTTGGATTATCCCCAGGGAGGTTGAAGCATCCGTGTACAACACCATAATGTGAAGAGCTGTTCCAGAGGCATGGAAATGGGAGAAAGCTGCAGCTGGGAGCAATTTGTACTGCGCTGCCACTGACATCCCACTCTTTGGTAGCTGTCCATAGGACTTGGGCCTAGCTTCTAGTGATTCATGCTGCTCTTCTATGGGTGGTCAGAGTTAATTCTGTTTATTTCAGTAAATGGAAGTCCATGGGTTTTTACATGTAGATTTTCAGTGCCCACAGATCGGTTTCTCTGTGTGTGCTGTTGCAGTGGAGTTGCAATGAAAATCCCTTTCCTGCATGTGTTGTGTATCTGCCACGAGAGGATCTTTATGCAGCAGGAGCAGCATTACGGCTCACACACGTGCTGAAGAGTTGCAGTGTATGCAAAGAAAGAGCCTTCCCATTGCTCTTAGCTGTGAAGAGGCAGAAGTGAAAGCAGATTGTGTCCTATGTGGGCCAGGCATTAGCGTAAGCAGGAAACTGATTCAGTTAACCATCGGTGTGCTCTTGCTGTCACCAAAAAGCACTTTTTCCCCTGACGGTTTCCCTTTGGTTTCAGTTAAGAGAGCACTGGAAGCTGAGTCACAGAATCTCAGACTGGTCTGGGTTGGAAAGGACCTTAATGCTCATCCAGTCCCAACCGCTGCCATGGCTCTTCCATTGGAGGAGAGGTTTCTGTTCTTGCCTTTGGCCTGAAATGCTCTTTGTGGTGCCCTGAGGTGCCCACTGCTGTGCAGCATGGTCCTGAGCAAGGCTGAGGGGGAGAAGGTGCTTTCATGGACAAGACTTGTCAGTGTGTTCCTGTGGGTTGCTGATGTTAGATGATCAGTTGTGCTGGAGCAAGTCTGACATTCAGCCTAGTGGAGGGCGGGGAGGCTCTCATAAGCTGGGCAGGTAGATGCTGTGTACAACCATGCACATGGGTGCTCAGTTTGCTGTGAATGAGGTTGGTTAAGTGCTTTGGCTTGTTTTTGAATGGGCTGTTTTATCTGTCCACAGGATTTCCTCGCCCAGTACGGTGTATTAAAGTAGGAAGGAAAATGGATGCTGCTTTCGGAAGCCTAAGGTGCTCTGTGGCAGTGCTGGAGCTGCGTGCAGCACAGTGACCTTACAGGAGCGAAGTTGGAGCTCTTGGGGAGGTGCTGATGCCAGTAAGAGCGATTCAAGTGACTGACAGGGCAGGTGATGCACACAGAGGAGAAAGAGCATCCCACAGCACAGCTACAGAACCGAGCACTTCCCCCGTGAAACCACCTGAGAGCTTGGGTGCTTTCGTACACATCCTGTGAAGAACAAATGTCTTCGGAAGGCAAAGCTGCAACAAACAGAAAGCAGAGGGGCTCTGGGTCTTGAGCCCCAAACTACTGCGGGATTGAGGGACCGGGGGCAGATCTCAAGGTTTGTGACTCTGGGCTGGAAAAATCTGTTGCTGCTTCTTTTCTTATGAGAACATAGATGCTGCATTGCTGTGCTGTGTGTGAGCTTCGGTAGCTTGAGAGGAACACTTCTGATTGCAATCTTGCTTTTCTCCTTTGTTTTCCACCCCTTCCTTCAGGCAGGATTAACAGAGCTGAGAACATGCACAGAGCCAAGTAAAACTTCGAACAAAATAGGATTAGAGTTTGCTGCCATAAATGAGGAAAAGGAAGATGTCAGCTTAAGAGGCTTGGACTCCTGTAACACCTAAACCAAAGGTAAAATCCTCTTGCTGCCTTTTGTAAGCTCCTTGTTGTGAACCACAAAGCTGTCCCCTGCTTGAGCCACTGCAATGAACTCCTGAGGTTCACTGAAGTTCCTGTGGATGGGCTCTATGTTAAGTGTAGGCTTTCCTGGTGCATTAGGGCCAAGACTTGGCCTCCGCTTTCCCAACCATGCCCGTGACTCTTGGAAGTGTTTTGAGACTACGAGCTGCTGCGGGAGAGTGTGAGCCCATGAAAATCTCTGTTCTGCAGAGCAACAGTCACACTGTGAGACTGCCACAGAAGTGTGCTGTGACGCTTGTCGTGTCACCACCGCTCTGTTGTCCTTCCATAGCCGGCGCTTCATTGCCCTCTGAAACCTGTCGCATCCTGCTGCAGATGACACCCCCCTGCCGCAACCGGTAGCTGCAGCGCGTGGTGAATGCCTGAAGGGACTCCTCCTGTGCCTGGCTCCCAGTGCAGCTCTCATGGCCTGCGATGAACCCGCTGCTCTCTCGGGCATCCTCACGCGGCAGAACTCCTCCAGCGCCGCCTCCCTGGACTCCCAGCCCGATGCTGACTACACGTTTGTGGAAGCCTTGGAGGAGCGGTACAAGTGCGCCTACTGCCACCTCGTCCTTCGCAACCCGCACCAGACGGGCTGCGGGCACCGCTTCTGCCAGCAGTGCATCCTGGCTTTGAGGTCAGTGCAAACTCCTCCCGCAGCCACAAGCTCCCCCTCCCCTAAAGAAGTCAATTCCTTCTGCACTTCAGCAGGGATAGATAACAGAGAGATAACTGCCATAGGTAACAGTATTGATCTGATCAACGCTGAGGGAGTCGGGGGAGAGACTCTGTTGAACTCAACTGCGTGCTCAGTGTTTGAAAGGCGTCTTTAAGGACCTTACCCACATACTTTGGTAGCCACAGGGAAGGCAGAGTAAAGCAGTTGTTGCTGTAAGCTTAAGCTGTACGCCGTGAGGTGCTATTTCAACCTGTCTGTCTGGCATCGTGCCATTCAGACGAACTTGTGGCATTAATGTCTCATAGTGTCAGCACCGGTGGTTAGATTAAGCTATTTTCATCTGCTTCTCTAGAATTGATTTTAGAGGAGATCTTAAACTGATGGCAGTGTTGCCTGATACCAAAGTCAGGTCACAGGGCTGGTGGCATCCACCTGCTTGGGACTGAGCTGCAGGTACAAATGAGACAGCCTGTCTGGGAATGCATTATGGACTGCTTGGTGTAGGGTCCGAGGGCAGGATTTGGCCATGAAGGCTGCAGAGGAGACAGTTTATGTGGATGGGTGTCACCATTTACCTTTACATGCTTTGTGTTTGCTGCTTTCTCTCCCTGCCTCCTGTTTGCACTGCCTCAGGAAGTGCTTTCCCATCTCTTATTGTAGGACTTCTGGAAGCCTTTTGAGACAGGAGCCATAAGATCTCCTGTCAGTGGTGTAGCAAGGCTTGCACCAGGCAAAGACCAGGTTTAACACACACGATGGGACTTTTTCCAGATGTGACATGATGGCCAGAGAGTGACAAAGTCCTCTTAACTAAAACCCATCTTATTAGCACTCATAGGACAAACTTTGCTTTCTGTTATATATCCACTGGTTGGAACTTGATGATCTTAAGGTCCTTTCCAGCCCTACCTATTCACTGTTGCAGCTTAATGCCCTCTCAGTGCTATGGGCAGAGTTTGGCTGTGGAGTTGCCAGACTAAAGTGATTTTGAAGGCCTTTTTTGGGGTTTTATGGTATTGAGTACTGACTTCTGCCAGAGTCAGATTCCAGCACGGCCCAATGTGGGTAAAGAAATCAGTTTTTCTGTGGGATAACACAACTCTTCTGTTGATCTAGAGAACTGAGCGCAGTACCCACCTGTCCTGTCGACAAAGAGACAATAAAAATGCATGAGGTAAGTGGCTGTAGTTTTACTTCAGCAGCCAACATCCGCATGGAAAAGGCAAGGCAGCTGAGAACAAGGTGGCTTTTAGTCTGTTAGACCTCGGGGCAGAGCAGCTTTGCTCTCTGAACTGATGCTAAGGGATTCAATCTATTCAGTGATGCTGTCCCAGAAAGGAAGTGTGGGTATGAAGCTAAAGCTTCATTTTATACCTCATGCTCTGAAGCTATTTCATTTTAATCTTCTGTAGTTCCAGGGGAGTGCTGAAGAGTTTCACAAAGCTTTAAATCCTCCCTAGTCATCAGAGGTCTTGTTTAGTGGAGAGTTTAGTGACTTGCCTTTTCAATGCCCCAACTTACTGTGTCATCTTTGTTTTAACTTGGTTATAATTTGCTGCCTTAACTATTGCCATTACAGCTATTTAACCCTGCAGACTTAATTTACTTGTGGGTAACTTTTTAGAGGAAAAGGTAAGTTCATGCTTCTAATTTTGCAAGCTATTGAGTCTTTATTATTATTATTATTAATAAATAATAGATTCATTTGTCCCTATTTCTATGCCAAGGCTCAAAAGTGTGCTACATCCTTGGTCCTGCCAGAATGAATTTTCCAGTGAAACCATATGTCTCCTTCTTCTCTGTCCTCCTCCTGACAGGAAGCTGCAATCACAGCATCCACATGAGTTTTGGTTTTCATTCGCTAGCTTTCACTTGGTGCAAACTCTGACAGCAGCAGCGCACCAGTGAGCAGCTTTAGAATGCTCTCCAAATAAGACTGAGAGTTTGCTCTGGGGGCTTAATTTGCTTCTGCACACACAGCAGGGAACAGAGCTGTTTCCCAGAGCCCGCAGAAGGGATAGCTCGGCAGCATTGCCATCCCAAAGGCACGCTGCACTGCGTGCGTGTCGGAGGAGCGTGCACAGAGCTGGTCTGGCCTTTGGGGCCCATTAGCTCCAGCTGCTTTCTTCTCAATACAGGCAGTGGTTTTATAGCTCCTGAGCTCCTAATCCTGCTGGCTGTGGGATGGATCAGCAGTTGTGGATAATTATATGGTGAAAACCCCCTATGCTTATTAGAAAACCCATACATGTGTTAATTTCTATTTTCAGTACCCATTTCCAATATGAATCATCAAGAATCATACAGTTACAAAGACTACACTTGTGTGCTTAAAAGACTGATCGTGATGTCTTGCTTTTTCACATGTGACCGCATGTGAGGGCTGGTTTGTTTCCTTTACAGGTATTCAAAGACAACTGCTGTAAAAGAGAAGTTCTCAACTTGCACGTGTTCTGCAAAAACACTCCTAACTGCAACTCGAAAATCATGCTGGGACGGTACCAGGTTAGTTTGAGCCAAGCTGGAAACCTTTGATTTTCAGGCAAACTCTGTGTATTTATGAAAATCTAAATTCCAGGGATTGTCTTCAGAGCTACTGTAGCAATGTGGTTTAAGTACAAAGGTTATAACTCAGCCACAGTGTAAGTAACAAATGCTAAGCTCAGAATACTACGGCTTGTTCCAGCTTTGCCTTAGGTTATTAAATAAGAACCATTTGCTTTATGTAGCTTTAGTTTATCTACAGCACCTCTATGTACCTGCTGTATGCCTAGGCACCATGCAATGGCTGGTTCAAGAGAACTTGCCAAGACTGCCTGTGCATTTGGGCCTTTTTCAGCATTTCAATTGGATGAAAAGTGGAAGTTAAACAAAGGAGTCTCCAAATGTTCATACCTGCTTTAGTTTTGAGGTTGGAAGAGAAGAAAGCTTATGGAGGAAAGAGTATTTGGAGTTTTGTATGTGCCCAACCTGCCGACTTTCTGTGGGTCTGTTGGAGGGGTGATGAAATCCTTTGGGGTTTAATTTGCTGTTGCACGTTGCAGGAGCATCTTCAGCGGTGTTTGTTTGAAAGCGTGCCGTGCACTAACGATGGATGCTGTGACCAAGTTCTTCGGAAAGATTTGGAAGAGCACTTGAGCCAGCACTGCAAATTCCGAGAAGAGATGTGTCAGTACTGTAACAAATGTGTGCTGTTGCTTAACATCAAGGTAAGAATGGAAAACATTCCCTGGGAAACCACAGCAGGTGTTTCCTCTTCATGTTGTTGAGTGAAAAGTTGCCAGCATTGCAATGGGGCCTAACTCCTGAAGCAAAATTTGGCTGAGTAGCTGAAGCAAAAGTATAATACATGTGCTTTAAGTAATACCAGTTACTGTTACTCTCTTATGAAGGACAATATGATATCAAATCATCAAATGGTATGGGTTGGAAAGGACCTTAAGATCATTTAGTTCCAACCCCCTGCCATGGGCAGGGACATCTCACACTAGACTATGTCATCCAAGGCTCTGTCCAATCTGACCTTGAACACTGCCAGGGATGGGGCATTTACCACTTTGGGCAGCCTGTTCCAGTGCCTCACCAGCCTCACAGTGGTGCCTGCACCTTGTATATGCTTGCATATGAGGCTTGCACCTGTATTGTCTGGGATTACCTTTCAATAGTTTACTCTTGTGTAGATTACTTTACAGAAATGTAACCCATTGCCTTGTTTTGTTTCTTTTCCCCCCAGAATCATGAGAAAAATGACTGTCCTGATTATCCTGTGCCTTGTCTCCACAATTGTTCCCAAATCATTCTGAAAAAAGAGGTACTATTGTTATTTCCTATACTGTGATTCAGCACATCACACACACATTTATGAAAGCTGAAACGTTGCAGACCCCATTGGTGGTTCCAACAACCAATGTTCCAATTAAACTTCACTGCTCGAAGCATTTGCTTTGTTTAGATCTGAAAGGGATATATGGCTCACCTTAGAAGTGAGCTATTTGGTTACTGCAAGCTATTGGCATTCTGCAGCGTGGAATAATATCTGGCTTGCTTATTGATTCAGAACATTCCGTTTCCTCTTCCAATGATCAGTGTCATGACACTGGCCTTTGTTCACCCTGTCTGCAGGCATTCAGGCTTTAGCAGTGCAGCAAATTACTTCATGTTTCTTTCCTAACCAGTTTCTTTGCTCATTACCTGCAGACTGAAAAGCACCACGCTGTGTGTCCCGAGGTGGAAGTGGACTGTCCCTATAGGCAGTACGGCTGTCTTGTAAAGGTACCAGTTTATACATCTTTATCCTGAGAATCAGGTCTGCCATTCCCTCACTGTCAAAGCACAGAGGCATTTTAAAGGCTTGATCAGTAGATATTTTATTAACAGCTTCACCAATCTGCATATCTTATTATCTTGTTCTTTGACTCCCACCTCTGCCTCACTAAGGTTAAAAGAGGGAAACTTGCTGAACATGAGAACGGTGCCCTGAGGGAGCACATCCTGCAGATCTTAGACAAGAACTCCCAGTTGGAAGAGCAGGTAAGTCGGATTTAATGAGCACTTCTCGGAGGTGCCTGGCTGGTTGGAGGATGATTCTGCATTTGTTGCCTGGTTTAGCTCAGCTACATTTTAAAAGACTGTTTTTATCATCTTTGTACACCTCAGCAGTCAGAATAAGCTCTTCTAGTCAAGCCAGCCAATTAGATGGAAACCTCTCTGTGCTCAGGCACGTATATTCTCCACCAAGCACAGTGGGAGGCTCATTGCCATTGCTCACTTCATTTCATTTCAGTCTTTGCTTACAGTGGATACAAGGTTTAGAGAGGAAGCATTTTAAAGTTGCAGTGGTCAGACTGCTCCAAAAGGGAGCATTTAGATGCCCAAGTCACCCACCCTACAGCAGCAGCACAAAGTAGTGCAGAGCCAGTTACAAGGACCTTCCACTCAAGATCATTTCTGAGGCTCCCAGCAGGTGACAGTGAGTGAACACTCAATCCTACTAAGGTGGATGCATCCAAACTGATGGCTGACTTACTATTTTGCTTGTTCATGCTAAAAATAAGTGCCCAAAAGTGCTAAAACTTGATTTTGGAGTTAGTATCCTTCACTGACTCCTCTCTTGTGCTAGTTGGACCTCGGTAGAGAAAAAAACAATAATAAATATATACATGCATAGAAACACACATGCACATGTGTGCATGTATTATTCTACTACAGAGCCAAATGGCTCATCGTGATGGGGATGAGGGGTATGAGTCTGTCTGTGCCTGCTGCCACACAGATCTATTAAAGAGTGTGATCTCCTCACGTTCAGTTCTTGCCAGTGCTTATCCATGACTGTGAATTAGGGTAGTGCTTTATGTAGCTACCTTAGAGGCTTCGCACTGTAAACTCGTCCACTTTCTCCCATATAGTCACATATGTCTTGATTGTTGTACGTTTTGGTGTGCCTTCACATTTTCACTCTGTTCTTTCCATCCAATAGATAACTGACCTGTATAAGAGCCTGGAATGCAAAGAGATTAAAATCCAGCAGCTAGCAGAGGCCATTAAAAAGTGTGAGAAAGAACTGAGACAGTTTACACAACTGCTTGGTAAAAATAGCAACTTGATGGTAAGCACACAGGTGAGACGTTGGTTTTATCTGGTTTGCAGTTGCTTTCTTGCATCCTGAACTATGTTTCTCCAGTAACAGCTGTCATTAACAGCAGGGCAGTAACAGATCTCCCAGATACTTCCCAAGCCCTTCTTGTTGTCGTGTTGTGTTTTCATGTTAACCAATAAAGAAGTTTAAGAGATCTGCTCTGGGCTAAAAAGACTGTACGAATCCTCCTGGTCAGATCTCTGTGTCAAAGATGCCAGGTGTAAATGTGAATAATCAGTTGGGTGAAGTGATGCATTGTGAATGGGTCTGAATGAGGGATGGCTTCTCCGCCAGTAAATGTGCTGAATTAATCATGAAGGAGCACCGGGATATGTTCCTAAGCCAGCAGAGCACTTGGAACACGTTGTATAGATGATACTGCTGACATGCTAAAGACTTCTTTACCTTGTTTTAAATGAAATGGCTGATCTCATGGATGCCTCTTGTCTTCGCTTCCCACCCTCTTCCAATGGCATGAACTGGGAAGGCTTTGGCCAGTCACCTGGATAAATCTGCACGCCTGGAGTCGCAAGTGAAACAGCTAATACAGACGGCAAACCAGCAGCAAAGCAAATTAGACTTGCAGCCTCTGTTCAACATGATTGAGAATGTAAAACAGAAGATTGCCCTGATGGAGACATACGATCAGCGCTTGGGTACGTTGGGACTTCCCATCCTGTTCTGCACAGGTATGGGGGTTTTGCTGATTTACCGGCTAAGTAGAGGCTCTGGTGCTACTGTCACTCAGTTGCAGCTCTTCACTAGAAAGAGCTTTCTTCTTCTTGCTTTCTAAGACCAACCCATGGTGGTGTGTGCTGTGTGCTCGCGAGTTCCTATGGCACTGTAGGGGCAGAGATCTGGCCTTGGTGAGGCTGGTGCCCTGTGATGGAGGCAGCATGTTGTCCACATTCAGGCATTAAATCTGGTTTGTAGTCACCCGTCTTCCTTGTTCAATTACCAGCTGCAAGTACATTTTCAAGACGTTTATAGCTGTAGTAACATGAGCTCACAGCCTCTACTCAGGCTTGAGTAGCTCAGTTTCATGGAATCATAGAAGCACAGAATAGTTTGGGTTGGAAGCAATGAGCAGGGGCGTCTTCAGCTAGATCAGGTTGCCCAGAACCACATCCGGCCTGGCCTGCAATGTCTCCAGGGATGGGGCATCCAGCACCTCTCTGGGCAGCCTGTGCCAGTGTTTCACCATCCTCGTTGCAAAGAATTTTTTCCTCACATCCAGCCTGAATCTGCCTCTTTACGTTTAAACCCATCACCCCTCGTCCTGTCACAACAGGCCCTGCTCAAAAGTCTCTCCACATATTTCTTATAGGCCCCTTTTAAGAACTGAAAGGCTGTAGTAAGTTCTCAGATTCTTCTCTTCTCCAGGCTGAACAATCCCAGCTCTCTCAGCCGTTCCTCACAGGAGAGGTGCTCCATCCCTCTGATCATTTCTGTCTCCTCTGGACCCTCTCCAACAGGTCCATGTCTTTCCTGCAATGAGGACTCCAGATCTGGATGCAGTACTCCAGAGTCCAGGGGCAGAATCACCTCTCTTGACCTGCTGGCCATGCTCCTTTGGACGCAGCCCAAGATACAACTGGCCTCTGGGCTGCAAGCACACACTTCCGGGTCATGTTCAATCTTTCATCCACCAAAACCCCCAAGTCCTTCTCCTCAGGGCTACTCTCAATCCCTGCATCTCCCAGCCTGTATTGATATGCCCCTAGCTGGGTGGAAGACCCCGCACTTGGCCCTGTTGAACCTCATGAGGTTCACATGGACCCCCTCTTGAGCCTGTCTGAGTTCCGCTGGATAGCAATAGCTTGGGTCCAGTTGCTCTTTGTATCCGGTGCTCAGCCAGTTTTAGTTCACCTAACCATTTCTCTCTTCCTCCCCTAGTTGTTTTGGAAGGCCAGTCCAGCAAACACGATCTCCAGATCAACATTCACAAAGCACAGCTCAATAAAAACGAAGAACGCTTTAAGCTTTTGGAAGGCACGTGCTACAATGGGAAATTAATCTGGAAAATCACAGACTACAAGACGAAGAAGAAGGAAGCAGTGGAAGGCCGCGTCCTCTCCATATTCAGCCAGCCCTTCTACACCAGCCGCTGCGGGTACCGGCTGTGTGCGAGAGCCTACCTGAACGGGGATGGCTCAGGGAAGGGAACGCACGTCTCCTTCTACTTTGTAGTGATGAGAGGGGAGTTCGATTCGCTGCTACTGTGGCCTTTCAAGCAAAAAGTCACACTTATGCTTTTGGACCAAAGTGGGAAAAAAAATCACATTGTGGAAGTCTTTCGAGCCGACCCCAACAGCAGCAGCTTCAAAAGGCCGGATGGAGAGATGAATATTGCCTCCGGGTGCCCACGCTTCGTGCCACACGCGGTCCTGGAGAACACAAAGAACACCTACATCAGAGATGACACTCTCTTTCTGAAAGTGGTTGTGGATTTAACTGATCTGGAGGAACTGTGAAAAGTGCTCCTGGTCAGTGTGACTGTTTTAACCAACAAGGAATGTTTTCTTGGTGACCACCAGCCATGCGATACTGAACTGCCACTAGTCAAGACACCGATACTGTTTTGAGGCTTCTGGATTGCATAACAGACAATAAATTGCCAAAGCATCAGACTTCCTTCCCTTTTATAACCCTTTTTTCCAGACCGTGTTTTCCAGGCAGCTGGAAGTCCGGTTTGATGCAACATGCATTCGATCCACTCTTGGCTCAGTCCAAGCTAGGGGCAATCCTTGGCTCCCATCACCAGACTGGCATTTGGAGATGAAACTCCTCCAGCAAGCTCCGTGGAACCCAAGCAGGCCTGTGGGCTCCCGTCCCTCACACAGAACTGAAGCCATACCCATGCATGCAACTGCATTTCACCTGTCTGAAACGGAAGCATTTCAACATCAGCACATTTGAATCAAAGTACCTTGATCCCTCCATCTCCTGGATTTTTGCACCTTTTCTTGTTGTAACTGTGTTTTCCAGAAAGCCCAGAGGAAGATGCCAATGCCTCTTACTTTTCTAGCCTGGTATCTCAGCTGTATAGAGTACTCCCAGCTCACAATAGCTTTGTTATGTCCTTTCCATTCCTGCCTAGTGCCTTGGGACTGATTTCCACTGGTGTTAAATATCTACAGTCCCCACTGAAGTCAAAAGAAGCTGCAGGTGCTTCTCACCTCTCAGGACATGACCAGAAGCAGGGTCCTTGGCCAGCTGGGCAAAGAGGAGCAAAACTCCTGTACTTTTGCTTCCCCATCTGCACAAACGAGATGTTTTCTGGCTCACCATCTCTTCAAAAGACAGGAAAAGCTTTGGATATCTGCTTAGAAAAAGCCCATGTAACATGCACTGTTTCCCTCTGCTAGGAATTCAGATGTTTGGGAAAGAAGGGAGAACATGGTTTATAAGTGAGGCTGCTGTAAGAACCCCATTCTCACAGGCTGGGCAGCTCTAGCGTTAGTTAAAGGGCGAGACAGCCACTGAGTAACAACTGATGACTATGAAGCATGTCTGAAGGTGTTCATTTTCATTCCAGGTTCCTTCCATACTGCAAGGGAATGCTCGCATTGCATGGGGTTTATTAGAGACGCACTAAACCCACCACCATCAGGCACCGAGGAATGAGTGATAACCACTACACGTGCCTTTGTAAAGCCTTTTGGGTGCCTGCAAAAGGGACGTAATTTTGCACACTCACTCATTTTGTTGTTACAAGTGACAGAATGTTGTGCCTCTCACCTCTCACAGACCAGGTAGTGAAACACCACAGCGTTATCCATTGCTCCTGCACTCCACTGCCAGAGCAAACCCAGAGCTTGTCAAGAGACAGCAAGAAATCAAGCTGGGCTTTAGAGTACCAGTAAAGTAGGCATGATAAACACCAACACAGGGCACAGACTGCAAGCTATGAGGAAGGGAGGTCAAGAGAGCAAATGTGGCCCAACCAAAAACGCCCTTTCTCTGAGGGATGCTGATAACTGAAATAACATGATCTGGGGACTGATAGCAAAAGGAAGGCAAAACACCACGTATTTTGTACCTGCGATCTTACTGCTAGACATTGACTTTCCCACAGGGTTTCTAAGATGTAATTCAGGCACGGATGTGTTTGAATTCAGGGGCAGGTTGGTCATCTGTACCTCACAGTGGGTTAGCACATCTGGAATCTCTGGTTGAGCTACATGTTCTTTATGTTGTACGGTGTTGTATGGGTCACCATAGAGTTTTCCATGTTCCTACACACAGAGGATAAGGAATGGATTTTATTCCCCTTGTACCACTGTGACTGACTTTGAGTCACTTGGGCCCTACAACAGAGACAATCAGGCCTCGTGTCCCTAATGCTTCATTACAGAAAGAGCAAGCTTGGTTTGAAAATGGTGTGGCATTCGAGGCCATCAATCCCGAGCCTCGGACATGGACTTCATCTCGATTACTACTTGACTATTCTTTCAAAGTGGCCCAATTTGCAGGATAACCACTAATAACGAACATATCGCCCCTTTTTCCTGGCATTCTCCAGTACGTTGAGTGTTAAAATCAGAAAGCGATAAAGAACTTGGACAGTTGAGGGAGGCAAGACGGAAAGGATTCGGTTTGTATCCTGGCAAATTCCCAGCCCTCTCTGCCCACCCCCCCCCCAAGTATCAAATGGGGATGATACCACCTGCAGAAGCATTAGAGCTATTTAAATGTTTATGAAGAGTTTGGAGCATGAAAAGAGCTATGTAGTATTATAGCTCTTTATTATAGAGTAGGGGATGGCATAGTGATGTGGGTAAGTGTTAAGTGTGTTCCTGGATAGGTTTTGGAAGCATGCTTAGTTTTAGCCGGTCTGTACCGCAATCCCTCCTCTACCCACAGCTGGGTTAGGGTTAGGGTTAGGGTTAGCCGTTTTTGCCACGGATATTCCTTTTCCAGTTCTGAAGCACAAACTCTTCATCCTGGGTGATGGCAACATCCCAGAACACTGCCTGTTTTATACAGAGTTAGCTGAGCAAACAGGCTTTTTTAAAGCCAGCCTTCTTCAAATTTGCTCTTTTTACTACAGCAATTGAGAGATTTATGTTAAAATTTTCAGTGGTTTTGGGTTTTTTTTTACTACTTGTAAACCAAAGTTTAGATTTCATCCCATTGCTAACAAGGAAACCAGTGTTGTGTGGCATGGATTGTCAGGAAAGGTTTTGATGTCGCATGAAAAACACCAATGAACTTCCCAATCCTATTGTACTGGGTGAGTGCCCAAGAGAGCGCCGGGTATTTCTGCATCACACACCGCATGTTTCTAATGTATTTATGGACACTTTGTAGTTGTTTGGTTCTCTTGCTACAATCCAGGCGTTTTTGTACCAAATGTCATCACTGTGCACATAAACTACCATGAGAATAAAGGATTTTACCATCCTGCTGGAGTGCTTGTGGCATATATTCCTTCTCATAGGAGAGAATCACAGGGTTGACCTTTATCAAGTCCAACCTTTACCCCAGGACTCAACACAAACCTCATAAATGAAAAGCACCAAATAGATGAAGAATGCTATTGCTTAACTCAAACCAGACAACAGAAGGCGGTTAGTATGGACTAATATCACACTCTTGCCATCTCATGTCCCTTTTCCCCATGCTTTTGCAGGGATTTAAGCAGGCTTTTTAGAAGGATGTGGAATACTGGATATTTGTTTACAGTCAATGGACGCTGCTTTAGATTAGGAACCCATGTACTTCACAGAGATTTTGGTTTACACTTGAAAACACCATAAAGCAGCACGCAGACGTTCAGTGCATTCTAAGCTAAGCTAAGCTAGATCAGATCCATGAGGTCCGAGATTCCCCGGGATCAAAAGGGGATGTTATCTCCGTTGGGGGCAGCCTTGGGTTTGTGCCAGCGGCGGGGCGGGCCGGGCCGGGCCGGGCAGGGCGGGCCCGCGTCAACCCCAACGCCCGCTCGGGCGCACTGCGCTCGGCCTCACACCCCGGGAGGAGGCCGGGCCGGGCCGGCAGCGCTGTGCCGCAGCCCCCGGGGACCGGCCAGCGGGGCAAGGCCGCGGGCAGAGCCGCCGGGGAGCGCTGAGCCCGGGGCAGGAACCGGCCCGCAGGCCCCGGCCCACCGCCCGCACGGGCAGGAAGCGGCGCCGGGCCGCCACAGCGCTTCCGGGGCGGCAGCGGGGCCTGGGCCGGTCCTCGGTACGGGCGGCGGCAGCCGGCTCCGTCCCGGGGTGAATCGGGCACGGAGGCCCCGTGAGGCCCCGCTGGGCTCGGCCGCGGGGAGCAGGTGAGAGCCGGTGCGGCCCGGGTGCGGTGCGGCCCGGCCGGCGGGGCTGGCGTGGGGCGGGCGGGACGCGGGCCCCGGGCCCTCGGGCTTCCTCCTCCCTCGGTGGGACCCTGCGAGGCACCGGTAACGGCAAGCGCGGGTGCTGCGGTGTTGTACCTGCACCTGGGGCACGGTCACTGATGGCACTAACCTGGCGTGGCCGCCGGTCCCCGGGGGACAGGGCGAGAGCTTGGACGTGGCGCGGCCGCGGTGGGCGGTGGTGGTGGTGGGGCTGCCCTGAAGGGGCGCGCGGGTTTCCAGTGCGTGCCCCCTGCGCCGCCGCTCATACGGCGATGGCGATGGTGTTGGTGTTCGCTGTGCTGATGTCCGTCATAGGTATGGGTGACAGCGAGGATGAAAAGAGTAGAGCGCGCTGTGCAACGTCAGAAGAAGGGCTGAAAGGCCGAGGTAGGCACTGCTGATCTGTTTCCGTGCTCTGCTGTTCCGTGTGTTAGCCCGTGTATCAGTCACTGTGCTTGACCCCATACTGAACACTGTCACTTGCTGATAAGGGAATAGACCATGGCACGCTGGAAGAGGGGAACAAAACCCCCTGAAATAGGGGCTCCTGTTTAAGTTCTGTGAAGAGTCGCATAGTTCCTGGGATGCTTGTCACTGTTGCCTTCTGTTATCCTAAGGAAAAGAAAAAAGGAAACGAAAGCGCAGTAGAAGCAGATCATCGTCCATTTCATCCACATCGGCTTCTAGCACTACATCCGCTTCTTCCTCCTCATCACGCTCATCATCGAGGTCATCTTCAAGTAGCAGAGGTAAGCTACCTCCCTGCGTACACACCATGTTCACCAGCGTTGACAGCACTCCTGGAAACGTTTAAAAGCTTATTTCAAGTGTGGCTAAAGCACCACAAAACAACAATGTGGAATACCAGTGCTGCGTGTCCAGGGGGCTTCTCTCATAACCCTTTCCTATTGCTGTGTCCTAGGTCCTTCTTCACACACCCTCTGCCATGTTCCCGTGTTAACTTCAGAGTAGAAACTGTCATTCAGAGAATGACATGTTCCCTGGTAGCAGTGTGCCGTATAGGTTTAAAACGGTGTTTGTTACGCTTTCAAAACACGGATCTCTTTCTGCTTCACCCATGTGCCTGGGCCAGAGTTGGGGTTTCTGCTGCAGTCTTACTGTGGTCTTAACATTCCAAGTGTTTCACTTTGAGGACTCGTGTGAGCTTTGTTAATACCAGTGACCAAGTTCAGTGGGAACACACATGCAGGATTAAGATTTTCCATGATAAGCTGCTGCTTGCATAGAGAACCCAGGGTAGACACTATCTGGGAGTAAGTGCAGGTTTTTTCTATGCCTATAACTTGGGACACGTTACTGACTGTATCAGGCCTGCGTTGCTTTGATGTTCTGTCTCAAGATACTTGGTATCACTGGAGGTAAAGTGTCCAAATTGCCATTTTTTAGTAAAATTTGTCAGGTTAAACACTGAAAAGTATTTTATCCTTTTTCCTGTGAGCAGGAAGAGCTCTGTATGAGCTGGAGTTCTCCTGATGGACAGGCTAACATCAAGTTGGCAGGACCTCATATTTGTGATGTATGTGTTTAACAAAGACTTAGTTGTGCTTCTCTTGAAGCAGATTTACATCTGCATGGAAATAGTACTTGTTCTCCTACTTCAGGGGCTTGGTTCAGTGTGTCAGACATAAAGAAATCCTGAAAATATTCAAATCTATGAGCTTGCGCATTGGAGGGAGGTGTTCTCTTCTGGAATGATTTTTATCCCATGTGATACCCTCTAAAACTTGTAAACATGGTGACAGTGTCCTGTCAGCCACTGGCTGAACGTGCTTGCCGTGCTCCCTGCTTCAGTTTGTGGAGAGATGTCAAGGCACGTGTATCTAAGGCGAAAAAGTCAGTCAGAATTAGGCTCCAGTTGTCAGTGCACATGCTCAGAGGTTTGCTAAAACTGCAGCTAAAAATTGCCTCTGTGTTGCCATTCACAGGGGAGAGCAGATGATCTAGGAAAAAAAGGTCCTACAAGGGCGTGTTTAAACAATTCTGTTTACTCCATCTAGACAGAAAAAGACGTGAGGTAACTGAGCTGAGACAGGTGGGTGGAGGTAGTTGCCACTACCCCTCAGACAGGAGACATGCAGGTAAATCACTGCTAAAACTGGGGAGGTAGGGTGGACCCAGTATGGAAGAAGATGGAGCTGTTGGAGAGGCTGGATGG